GAGACATTTTCGTGACGTCATCACGTGATGTTTTTTGCATCACTCGTTTCCGACGCATCGGGGAGGCCCACGCCGCAGGTGTCTCATTATGAGGTTTTCGAATAGGACAGATGGTATTGGCCAATAATATTCTGCACACTGTCAAGCTAAAGGGTGCGGGTTCGACTCCCGGCCATGGCGGCCGCGTTTCGATGTGGGCCAAATGTAAAAGAACAGCTGTGTGCTTGGAATTGTAGGCATGTTAAGGAAACACAGGATGATGATGATAATAATAATAATAATAATAATAATACTAATAATAATGATGATGATGATGATGATGATGAATGAACTTTATTGTGGTTCAGAGAAGACGCAGGGGAGATTCAACGCCACCCGGCTGGTCCCACGGAATTAATTTCGACCGCCAATCCGAGCTTGGCGGTCGTAATTAATTCGAAGTTCTTTACTATCGGCTTGCGTAATTATTTCAATTGTGGTTAACATTATTAGTAATTAAGATTATTACTAAGATATTTTTGGAATAGTTTACAAAGATGTCACAATATTATACAATTCGTCGCCGCGGGACAGTATAGGCATAAAATATGGGCTGCCAAGTTAACGAAATCGTTGTTTCCCATGTGCGTTTCCCTATTAGTCTGCCGGCTTCATGAATGACATGTCGCGCATCGTGATTGGTTGAAGAATTCCACCGAGAGAAACTTTTGCATAAGAAATTTCTTTTATTTTGTTTTTTCTTGAAAGCGGACCCTTATCTTGCGCGTAATGCAACAGGCTACACGTGTAGCTACTGGAGCCGCGATTTACCAGCTGCACATCATACTTTTTAAGAAGTTCGGTGCCAGCGATGATTACGCTCACTTGCTGGATGCTGAATTATCGGTGTTACTGCAAGTATTACGAACATCATCACGTGAAAGTCATTTTACAGTAAAACTGCAAAAACAGCTGCTCACTATTCGAAAAGAGGTCGACAGTCGATTCGATTCGCTTCCGGTACTTTTGGTTTCGTATTAGATTCAATCTCGAAAATCGCTATTCACGCACACACCCGATGGGAAGTGATGAAGGTTAAGCCTCTGAAGCGCAAGGACGAAAAATGGACCATTCGCGAGTCATGGGTTCTCGCGAACTGCGGCGCGCAGTTTTTCGGGCGTTTCGTTCGCTTGATTGAATGCTGATGCGGCCGCTTCGTGGAAAAGTGGATCAGCCTGCTTCCTCGCGAAAAAAATGATTTCTGCGAGCACCACCTCCGTGGGGAATCGAAAGGGGTCGACACCAACAAATGGAAAGAGTTCCGCGGTGACATTGGAAGGTGTCGCCACATTGAATGGCTACGGAGAAAATGACGGCTTTGTGTATATGGGACTGAACCATATCTCCCAACATATATAACTGTGTGTGCGCGTGTGGATGTGTGTGTTTGTGCGTGCGTTAGTTCGTTCATTCGTGCGCACAAAGGCTGAACGCAATGTCACAGTGCCCGGCATCCAATCTGTGGTGCAGTACTGCAAACAGATGCGCTCAAAGGCTGTGTGCTTGAACTTAAGGTACTGTTTGAGGATGGACATTGGTTGAGGATGGACTGTGTTTGATAAAAAAAAATGGGTATCACTAGGAAGGATCCTGTCAGCATGTTGAAAGCTCGATTTTTCAGCGTTAGTTATCTGATGTTTCGGCATAAACATATGCACTAGCACTTGGCTGACACTAGCGCATCTTTTGTGCGCATGTTACGTCAGTCTGTCTATTTCGCAATACGTCGCGAAGCCAAGCGCAGTGCATTCCAGTACGTAAGAGCTAATCTCGACGTATCACTCGAGAAAGCGTCGGGAGATAGGCAGGGATATATGGTTTCCGTGTGATAGTCATGCCAAATATTCCCGACTCATTTCCTTTAATATACGATAAAATGGAGTGGGGAAAGCAGCTGATTTTTTTTGAACCCCCCCCCCCCCCCGTCCGGCAGAAATGCTTCTATGTAGTGTCTTCCGTAACTTTATATTCGCTTCCAACAGGCCGATTTATTTTTTGACGTCGCAGGAGTCATTTTCGTGATGTCTGATATTTACCTCTGTATTTCGGACAGCCTACAAATGTACACCAACGGCCGCTTTATGTCACACATATTAAATAGCCTTATGTGCCACTCACTGCTTCGCCTTTTGACACCGCAGTCTTCGAAATCGTATTCATAACCCTCGTAATGTGTGCAAGCATGTTACGTTCTGAACGCGTAGTGGCGTGTAAAATGGAATGTGAGATAATAAGGTGATACGGTAATAAGGAGATGTTATAAGGTGAAGGCTTTGCGACAGAAATGTTTTTTTTTTGCAAAATACCATGGCGAAGAATATGTTGATGAGGAAGCGGTGGTATCTTCCCTGTCTTCGTCGTCGCCTGGTCACGTTTAAAATTATCTTGAAAAGAATCTCTAAAAGCTGGCTTCCCCACATTTAGCTTGTTAACGCGGGGCAGCCAGCTTTAACGATATCTTTTCCGTCGTTCAGGGCTGCTCTCGTGTATGTCAAGTTTTCCTCGAAGTGTCTGAAAGTTCCATACGCAGGACGCTGGATGTAATAACATACTGGTCTGCTACTCCAGCTGCGCTGTCAGCTACTTCGAAAGCATTGATTTTCTTTTTTTTCTTTTGTTTGTTTGTTCAAGCGCATCTTTATGCGTTTTCGCATCTGCAAAGGTTGTCCTCATCCATATTGGCCTGTCTATATTCTAGCGATGACAATCACATGACTGACTGTTGCATCAACTCGCCGCCAGAACGTTGAGGAGAAACAATATGAGCAACGTGATTTTTAGCCACCTAATGGAGCGTTCTGCACCAGCGCAATAAACAAACACGACTATAGCTGTTCGTGTCGCGTGCTTAAAGGCAGCATGCGTTAAAGAAGAAGAAAAGAAAGTGTTTCATGATTAAAATGATCTTCGGCAGCTTGAAAGAAAGGAAGAAAGAAAGAAAGAAAGAAAGAAAGAAAGAAAGAAAGAAAGAAAGAAAGAAAGAAAGAAAGAAAGAAAGAAAGAAAGAAAGAAAGAAAGGAAAACCTCGATTACCATATTGAGCAATAAAAAGAGATCGTTAAGCTTGCGGCCGCTCAAAGTTCAGCGTGAAAGTTTACAGCGTCGACTGCTTCTTACCTTGAGAGCTGTCGCCGCTATCGTGCGCAGCGAACACACACTCGCGCGCTGGATCGCAGGCTACTTCCCGGCGGCTTGATCAAGACTGTCACTGGCGCTGCACGTTACTTTTTTTGTTGTTCTTTTTTGACAGGCGGCATTCGTCGCGCTTTGAATCCGCCCACCCCCTCTCGATATTACCTCATTTGTGTGCATGCCGTTTATCCCGCGGGCACCTGTCGCTGGCGCCGCCTGCACCGCGCGGCTTCCAAATTGGGTCGCTCGTTAGCCTCCTCCCTTCCCTGCACTGTTGCGCTAAACATTCAACTCTCGCTTGTTGTTGAGCTCGAAGCATAAGGCACTTAAGCCGTTACCTTGCTGCGCAGTAATTGTGCCCTTACTTTTTTTTTGTTCTAATAAGCTTGTAGAGTGGCGTCCTGGTTTGATTTTTTTTTCTCACAAGGAGTAATTATGGAACCGGCAGGTGCGTAAAGAAAGAAAATAAAAACTATTGGTGAACCAATTGACCTTCTTTTTGTAATTGAGTGAGATCATCGCTAATGCGCGGGGCGGGGTCGCGTGTACTGTAATAATTTTGCCATTACATTTTTCACGTCGCCAGAATTTAGTTTGATAGTTGTGAGCTAAGACGAGAGCCTGACTTGTGTCAGCGACAGACACTAAACCAATAGACAAACAACCGACCGACAATAACGTGAATTAAAGTGCATGCAAAATAGCCCATTGCTTTCAATAATAATTGTTGTGGGCTTAACGTCCCAAAACCATGGTGTGAGAGACATCGTAACAGAGGGCTCCGGAAATTTCGACCACACGAGATTTTTTTAACGTGCACCTAAATCTATAGGCACACGGGCCTCTGGCATACGCGGCCGCCGTCGCTGGGATTCGATCTCGCGACCTTTGGGTCAGCAGTCGAGCGCCATAACTGATATCCCACCGTGGAGAGTGTTGCTATTTTCTCGGAAAAGCAGAATTGGTTAGATAGTAACAATGAAGCTTGCTCAGCATGTCACGGAAGGCTTGAAACAACGAAGCCGGATGATTCCGGTTAATCTGGTTGCTCTCAGGTTAATTGTTCACAGGCTTTAGCTAGTCAATGCTCGGTTACTTTTCAGTGCAGAGAGGGTTGACTTAAAACACATGGCAGGGCACGAATTTCCCAACTCCAGAGACAGAAACACCCGCTGAAAGCGAGCGATCGCACCTGTCATAGATTTACGGCACATCGTCGTTGCGTAGCTTTCATCTCTTTGGAATCTTTTCCCAGCTGCCATTGCCTTTCCCGTTCTTTTGTGTTCCTTCATAATACGTACTCGGGGCTGCCTTTGCTTCACAGTAGACCAGCTGTAGGGCAGTGGGACTTAATTTCTGCAGCACATACGCTTCATAATGATGATGGCTTTTTGTATCCACCAAATTTCTCGCGGGCGATTTATTCTGCTTCTCTGGTTTAAGTCACATGCATGCTGTGGCAGTGTCCCGTGCTAAACGCTAGCTACGGGTCTCCTGCCACCGAGGACGACTGGATCAACCATCTCGGGAGCCCCGGCAGGGCCCTTCAAGACCAGGCCGTCCAGAAGGCCCAAAAGGTGGCTGGCGAGCTCCGACTCCCGGTCCCCACATGGGCGGAGCCACCGGGCTGGCCCTCGTAGGGGGTGCCCAGTCCCCTTTAGGACCTTTAATAAAGTTAATTCTCTCTCTCTCTCTCTCTGGTAAATGGAAATGAATGTGGACGCAAAGAGACAACCCACTGTTCGATGGGCAGGACGCGAACGGCTCGTGTCACGTGGGCTTATACGTTTACGTCGTGTGGTGACGTTGCTGCCTTTCTGTTTGCGCAGGACACACGGACGCATGTCGTCGGGGAGCTCTACGACACGGAAAAGTCCTACGTGGAGAGCCTTCAGATTCTGGTCAATGTAAGTGGACATCACCAGTGCACTTAATGACGCGACGCGCACTTGATGATCTCATTTCGCTAATAGCCAGTGGAACACGCGTGCTGTCGGTGACGTTAGGTCAGGTTGTGCATAATTACACGACAGAAAACACAAGTGCACATGTATTGCGTGCTTGGACTTCGTGCGAGTTTATGGTAACCACTCAGTGACCGATCGTTGGGTTTATCATGGCTGGGACAGACCACGTCATGATCGTCATTATAAATAACCTGTCTTCCAAACAGCTTAATCCCACTTACTATATTAATCTTGTTTAGCAGTTTGCATAGTCTATTATATGAATAAGTATGTGGTTATAGAAAAGCTGCTTGCTGTGCATATCACAAATGAATATTCTTGAAGAATAATAAGACGGCTGGTGTACATACTCCATTGGTACCCGTTTCGGTGTGAAGGATCAAACAAACCAAATCAAACACTCACACACCTACATTACTGTCGTCCCTGTACCTTCATGGCGCATATTTTCTGCCTGCACTCTCGCGACCATACGCAAGACCAGAATGCAGACATGCTAGCCGTGTAGAATTCGGTGCAAGTTTAAGAGTTTCCGACAGTTAGATGTCGACAGCTCATTCGATAACGTAATTCGCCTATCGATTCGAAACCGAAATGTGGTATTTAGGATGGTCGTCTTCGCGAGTTGTTTGCCGACTGCGTCGACGTCCTTCGCAGAAGTACATGCGTCCGCTGAAGAGCCCGGACACCGCGGGCACGGTGGACAGCAGCCTGGTGGACGAGATCTTCTACATGATCCCCGAGATCCTGAGCCACCACGAAGCATTCCTCGAGGTGCTCCGCCAGAGGCTCTCCTGCTGGGACACCCGCCAGAAAGTGGGCGATGTATTCGTCGAAGCGGTGAGATTATTCCCAAACTGTTTAGAAAAAAACGGCATCGAGCGCTGAGATAGGGAGAGAAGGAGAGCGAGAGAGAATAACATTTACATGTACACAATAAAGGCCAAAGCGCCTCGGCTAAGTCCACCAGGAGGCCAGCGGGTCAAGCTACATACCAGCCCTCTCGCAGGCCTTCTGTATGGCCAGTCGCTGCAGCCTTGGGTCTTGGAAATATTGAAAATGAGTTATGCTGAAACCCGCAAGGTGGCGAAGGGTCGAGAAAGGGAAATAAGACTACCACTCGTTTGTAGCTCGAAGCTACTAAGAAATCCGCTCGGATTTCTCGGAAAGAAAAGCCTCTTTGTGGTCGAAAAATTCGTTCTTTTCCGTAATTCGAACCGGGATCCAACGCTTTTCCGGGGTGGTAGCTCTGCCAATATAGCTAACCGGGAAGCTAGCAATTGCCAGCGTGAGTGTGAATTCATCGACAACTCGAAGCGCATGGGCACAAGTATTGCAAGTGAGTTCGGTGGAAACCTGCTAGGTGGCAGAAGGGTTAATGAAGGGAAATATTAGCACAAAGCCACAAGGAAATCCGTATGCATTTCTCATAAGGAAAAGCCTCTTAGGTGCCGAAAAATTCGTCCTGGTCCGTACGGATTTCCTCGTGACTTCGTGCTACAAAGTGGTGGTTGTCTTATTTCTCTCTCTTAGTCGTGGGTTTTGGGTCATGATGTGTTCAAACCACAATTATGTACTACAGGGGTGATTGGAAGAGGTGCATAAGATACCGAGTTAAGTCGGTATGACAACCGCATAAAAGGCAATAAAAGTTTAGGTATCAAGCCAGTACTAGACACCTGAAATCTCTTTCACTTGCCTAAATAACCTTATAATGGTATTACCTTTAGCAATGGCATACATTGTCGCAGTTTTAGCGTGCAGCTAGCTAGATATATAACTTTTGAGAACACTAAACCGCCTTCTTTTTACGATGTATGTGAGAAGTTAAAAACACATACTAAAGGACTCCCTTATGCGTCTCGCGTCCTTAAGATCTTGGAGTGATTGGGGATGCGACCGTTCTTGATCGGACATGTTGCGTGTTTCATTGTGATTGGTGTAGGCCGCGTCCATTCTTTATAGTGTACATAGATATAGCTAGCTAGATAATATGAAAAAAAAAAAACTTCGATTGATTTTTCTTTCTTTTGCACTTGCATCCATCCAGAACTTTTAATTTGCTAAGTGCAGAAAGCGGGTTTTGTTGTGTATGGTGTTTTTTTTTTTTTACTCAGCTTTCCACGAGTGCGTCGACTGTATATATGTCCGCTAACACTCCCTAAAGCGCGGGCTGTACAAGGTTTAGGCGCTTCCTTCGTTGCCGTAACTTAGAGCCGACCAAATGGTCGTTTATATGCCTACGAACAAAAAGAGGGGCGTACAAAAGGAGTCGAAAGGAAAGCACTAAGGACGACATCGCGAACTTTTCCGGTCCTTGAGAATAAAATACCGTGAAGACGCATATATGTCATTGCTGTATTGCGAAAGAAAAGAAAAAAAGAAGGCCAAACTACGAGTAAAATCAGCAGCAGGAGCAACAACAACAAAAGAGGGTACGGGGCAACAATTCAACGGTGCATAATGCTTTTACGGCGCGCGTGAGCTTAGACGCCGTCGGAGCAGCGTTGCACAACCGGCTGGCTTCTCCGCATGGCGTCGGCGTGCTCCTAGTCACCCGACTTTCCCGACGCCACTTTAATGCTTTTTCGGCGAACGAAGCCTCGCATTTCTGGCGGCAGTAGATTTTGTGTCGTTGTTTGCTGAGAGAGTAGCATAATGCCGGATTGTCGTTCTCGTTTGATTTTTTGAAAGCTTGTTGTCCGTTTACGACCGTACCCGCAAAGTACGCATCGTGTGTGTCGCAGACATGTGTCGCTGTGAAGCTGGCTGCTAAACAGTGGTGATGTACTTCAGTGACGTGCCGTAAAGAAATGCCAGAAGTTGTACTACTACCCTGTCACTTACTGGTGCGTGGTGCGCAGTGCTTTATTCAAAGTACCTTGAGCGTTCTATTAAGTTTAGAGCGTAAAAATATTGTTGAACCATTATTTAAGTATATGAGTTTTCAAGTTGTGTTTTTACTGCTTCAGGCATCTCCAGCAAAGCCGAATAAATGAGCCTTGAAAGATGTGAGAACTGACAGCTTGGTTTTTTTACTTCTCTTATTTTTTCAGTTCACTAAACAGCCTGTGATAGACACCTACACTGCATTTATCAACAATTGGAAGTCAGCCAAGGAAGCCATCAAGATGGCAACTCAAGCAAAGCCTGCTTTTGCCAAGTTTCTTGAGGTTGGTTACTCGGTCTCACATTTTCAAATTGCAACTGGTTGGTGATCAGTACCTCAGATATCATTTTATGGAAGCTACTTATATTATTCTTGGTTCCTTCAGTACATGTCCTCCTGCTTTGCAGAACACATCAAGGGAGCACAAAGGCAAATTAGCCCTGGATGCCCTTCTAATCATGCCAGTGCAGAGGATACCTCGTTATGAACTTCTTATTAAGGTGAAATTTTCACTTTTCTTTAATGAAGGTGTTTTTAATTATATCACTTCAGGGCATCATTATTGATGATAAAGGCAAATATTTTCTTACGGTGTAGCTAGAGATTTGGTTATCAGCTGAATCTAAAAAGAAACAAAAGACATTTAGTCATGATATGGCATAGCACTTATATGTTGCACTTGTATGATCACTTGCAAATGCTTACTGTCAACAGTAAGATCACACTGTGGTGCAAAAGGAGGGAGGCAAAGTACCTGTATGTGCATTAACGACACTTGGTGGCCTCTGCAAAAGATGACTGTTTATAAATGTTGCATCTATACTGCATTTGACTGATCCATTTAAATGCTTGGCTATTCTTAAAATCACATGCCCTTGGAATGGCTTTTCTAACAGCATAGCTTCTTGAAGGGAGCAAGAAAAGTTCCAGCTCCTTTTATCAGTGCATCTTTTGGACTTTTCTACATGACCTTACATATGATGTATTGTTCTTGTCATTTCCTTACCCATTATTTATGCACAATTATATGTTAAGTTCTCTTTTGTAATAGCTAGTTTACATCCTGCTCACTCTAATTTACTGTGTGAAGTTTTGTTGTTTAACGAGCTGTGACATTCAGAAGCTTATGTGCTTTTGTTGCCTGTTAAGTTTGCTTCTTGTATACATTTTAACACAATACACCGTTTAGTAATGCATTTGTTACCCTTACATTCTTTTTTTTTTAATCCAAATGCATTTTTTAGTCGGGCTATGTCAGGCATCCGGCGTTGTCCACGTGCCGGCAGGTGTTCTCTCTTCGCTTTCACACCCTCTGCCATAACAACAGCGGCGGACACGCACTCTTATCTTTGCCCCTAGCAAACGGAGCATGTGGTGCGAGAGAGTGTAGGAGAGGGTAGATGCAGTGCTTCACCGCTCCTTCTATCTCCGTTCACACTCTCTCCTTCCTGCACTCCACTTTCCTGTCTGCTCGCTTTCTCTGGGCGGTGGGCTGGCTGGACGCCTCTCAAGGTGATAAGAAAGTGTGTGCTTGAGAAGCCGCTGTGAAACGCCAAGCCAGAGCCGAGAACGTGCCCAATTTTCCCGGATGCGCTCTCGACCCTGCGCTGGCAGGGCGCCTCTCAAGGGGATGGCAGGAGTCTGTGAAGAGGAATGTCTGACAGCAATGGTACCCTTTTTTGGCATTAGCATTTCCTCATGATACCCCTTGGGAAGGTAGGGCATTTTTTTTTTCATTTTCATTTCTCCGTACATATTTTTGTTGCTTCCTTATATGTTTTCTAATTATTTTATATACTATCATAGTAATCTTTAACCTTTTGAGGTGCTTTTTACACCTTTGTGTTCGTCATGTGTTTTTTTTTACAGTTGTGCCATCTAGTGGCTAAGAGAGGGCGGAATACATTAAGGAATAGATGAATTATACCTCCTGTGCAGTGATTATGTATTCATTCAACTACCATGGCACTACTATGTTTGACAAGTCATTCAATGTGCTGCTGTCAGCAAGCAGCATTAAACAAATAACTTTGATTTTTTCAAAGTGAGAATAATGTGATAAAACATTGTCACCGTATTCCCAGACTGAGGTTTGATTTTATAAAAAAGAAAGTCACAGCTTTGCTGCAAAAGCGAAGCAATTAACGCAATAGCAACAAATTGGAAAGTCACGTGCAGAACGGTAAGCAGATCGAAACCTGCCCCGCATTTCTCACACACAAAGGACGCACGAAACGTACTCACAGGTACAGATTATCGTGAATAAGCGTCTAAGTTGTTACTTCGCTGTGTCTGAAAAGCGCGCCATTTTCGCAAACGGAGGCTGTGCAACGGTTGCAGTGACCTTTGTGCACCCGATAACTACAACAGAATCATTCCCACAAAACTCAAGGGGCCAAGACGTATGATTCTCCCCACTGCGAGATAAGAGCATCTGATTGAGCATACACCCCCCTTATTCTGTACGGGGGCCAAAATACCAGTGAGAGATGAGAGCCGCCCCGCACTCACTGCCCCATATTGGTGATAATGCTGAAAACACAATAGTCCCCCCACCCCGAGATGCCCACCAACAGGAGTAAGTGGTAGATATGAATTGCTTACAATCAGAATACCAATCAGGAAGGGCGTAAAGCTGGGAGATACTATCTCCCCAATGCTATTTACCCCGTGCTTACAGGAGCTTTTCAGAGGCCTAGAATGGGAACAGTTAGGGATAAGAGTTAATGGAGAGTACCTAAATAACCTGCGCTTTGCCGATGACATTGCATTGCTAAGTAGCTCAGGGGATGAATTGCAACTCAAGATTACGGAGTTAGACAAGGAGAGCAGAAAGGTGGGTCTTAAAATTAATCTGCAGAAAACGAAAGTAATGTACAACAACCTCAGAAGAGAGCAGCACTTCGAGATAGGTAATAGTGCACTTCAAGTTGTAAAAGACTGTTTACTTAGGGCAGGTAATAACCGCGAAGCCAAACCACGAGATTGAAGTAACTAGAAGGATAAGAATGGGGTGGAGCACATTTGGCAAGCACTCTCAAATTATGACAGGTAGATTGCCACTATCCCTCAAAAGGAAGGTATATAACAGCTGTATCTTGCCGGTACTTAGCTACGGAGCAGAAACATGGAGACTTACAAAAAGGGTTCAGCTTAAATTGAGGACAAGGCAGCGAGCAATAGAAAGAAAAATGGTAGGTGTAACCTCAGGAGACAAGAAGAGGTCAGAGTGGATTAGGGAACAAATGGGGGTTAAGGATATCATAGTTGAAATCAAAAAGAGGAAATGGAGATGGGCAGGGCATGTAGCGTGTAGACAGGATAACTGCTGGTCATTAAGGGTAACTAACTAGATTCCCAGAGTAGGCAAGTGGGTTGGGGGGAGACAGAAGGTTAGGTGGCAAATGAAATTAAGAAGTTTGCGGGTATAAATTGGCAGCAGCAAGCACAGGACCGAGTTAATCGGCGAAACATGGGAGAGGTCTTTGTCCTTCAGTGGACGAAGTCAGGCTGATGATGATGATGAATGGCTTGCCCTTTGGACGTTGAAGGAGGTACCTCTCGGTGACTCAGGGGTTAACGCCTCGCATTCACAACGCGGAGGTTCCACGTTCAATTTTGCGCGCCGGAGTCTTTTTTTTTGCAATTTTTTCTTTCTTGCGTTTTCATATATATATATATATATATGTGCATATGCAGTGCATGTCATCGACGCCAACGTCCGCTTCCACGCCGCCGCCGCCGCCGAAATCCAGCCGAGAGTGTTCATATTGTGACAGCAATATAGTTGCTATCGCAATAAAACTGAACATGAATCAGTTCAGGCAGGATAAATAGATATCTAATTACAATTCAATTAAGAATAATAATCATAAAAGAGACGAATCAGTGTATTAGCAGAATATTCTTTTGCAATTGAATATCAAGTGCCTGGCAATAATGTCCTTTAAATACAATTTAATATATATAGAGACAGTTCTTCACTGGTCATGTCTAAAAGGGATAATGATACTCCCAAATTTCGCCCAGTTACAATAGGTGTCTGCAAGGTATTTTTCAATATATGTAAGGTAATCGAGGGCCATTTGATGCATGTATTTTCAACAATATTAATATATCAAGCCTGAAACATAAGGCACACTTCTTCATTCCTGTAGCTGTGTACTTGTTTATTTTTTGGTGCATTCTCTAATCATTGTTTGATGTGCTTAGTGAATTATACAATGAGCAACCATTAACCTGTCTGCTTTCTTGCTAATTTCTGGTTGCACTATGAAAAAGTTAATTCTCGTTTGCAAAACACATGTCAAGCACATGAACATCGGCAGGATTTTGTCTTGGGGGTGCAAGGTCGTGTTGCATCTCGTCAAGGGCTAAAGAGAGAGCTAGTGTAGCTTGGGTGGCAGGCAACTGCTGGTGTAGATTAGGGATGAAAGCGAGTTTACCTTTTTCACCTGTCTGCTGATGCCCACTATCGAGCCCCTGTCATAAATTTTTGCTGTTGCATCACTTTTTCAGGAGTTGATAAAGCACACGCAGCATGACCACCCTGACCACCAGCTGCTGGTACTGGCACAGAAAGAAGTGCACGAACTGGCCCTCAAGATCAACCGCATGGAGCGAGAGGCGTTTCAGCATGAGCAGATGCAGCAGAGGGTCCGTGATATTGAGCAGCTCATCGAGGGTGTCATTGATGTGAGTAGTTCCTTCCCGTTTGCCAGGAAACGCAACTTTTTTTCCACAGTATTCGCACAACGAAAGCCACGCAAACCCGCAGTTAGGCCTTATCGTAAGAGTGAATGTGTGAATTTGCTACAACAATGATAAACCATAAGCGTTACCATTAAAGCCCGCCTTCATACTGTAATACATAAGAGCTATATTTGACAACTTGTTAGCCGTTTCTATAGTGAATCGAAGCATTCAGTTGGATGTGTGGCTAGCTCTATTGCTATTTTTAAACTGGGAAACTGCGGCTGACTGGAAGAAGATCACACATCAAGGTTCTTAGGTGAAGTGCCAACAACTTAATAAATACATAAACCTCTTTCTCAATCTGTCAATATTGTAGCGAAGCCTCCGAACTATGAAATGGGTCGAACTCTTGAGTACCTTCTAGTGGGGCTACCCAACAAGGACGCCGCTCGCGCTGAGAGCCCGTGCTTGGCCGTTACTGTCGCCATTGTGCTTGCTCGCTGTGGGCCGGCTAATAAACGCCTTAACATTTTGGTGGAGAGTGCTGTGCCCTTCAAACATCTTCGGTTCACATTCGATGCCCTTGGAGCTTAGATCCCGTACCGTGCCTTCAACCATGCAACAAGACGCCGCTCAGCAAACGCTTCCTCCTGCGCCGACGCCATGTTCCGGTGTCCCCCGCATCCGCGACCCACCTGTCTTCACCGGCGCGGATGGCACCGACGTCGAGGACTGGCTCGCCATGTACGAACGCGTCAGCGTCCCCAATCATTGGGACGAGGCAGGTAAACTCGGCAACCTGGTTTTCTACCTCGCGGGTGTGGCCGGCATGTGGTATAACAACCACGCGTCTGATTTCGCAACCTGGTTCGATTTTAAGACCGCTATCACCAACGTTTTTGGCCGCCCTGCCGTTCGTAAGCTGCAAGCCGAGCAGCGCTTACGCGAACGCGCTCAGCAGGACGGTGAATCATTCACCAGTTACATTGAAGACGTCCTGGACCTATGCAAGAAATCCAACGACAGCATGTCCGAATCAGACAAGATCCGGAACGTCATGAAGGGCATTGCCGATGATGCCTTCACGATGCTGCTTGCCAAAAACCCAGGCACAGTAGCTGAGGTCATCACGCTGTGCCAGAGCTACGAGGAGCTCCGCCGGCAGCGTTCGATGACCCGTCGCTCCACACCACGAGATGCAGGGCTCGCAGGCTTGGAGGCGAGCTGTGACCAGGTGGCACTGCTGGCAGACCTCAAGTCCTTCATACGTGAGGAAATCGCACGGCAGTTCTCTCTCCTGCCCTTTGCCCACCCACCGGCTGCTCAACAATCGGCCACTACCATTTTCCCCCCCATCCGCCGAGCGATTGAGCAGGAAATAGCGGAGGTCATGCCTGCGTACCACCCACAACAGCTTCCGGCTCCTGTACCCCCAAGTTACGCCCAAGTGGTCGCCAGGCCGCCTCCAGTCGTTCAAGCGCCCGCCCCACTGACTTACGCCGAAGCTGCCGCACGACCTCCATCCTTTGCAGCGGGTATGCCGGCTACGTATGTTGACGTGACCTCTCAAACTCAGCTCCAGCACCCCCTGCAGCCTTTCCAGCCACCGTTCCGTCCATCGGCTCTTGCGTCATGGACAAGACCTACCCCGGCGAACCGATGGCGCACATCCGACAACCGGCCCATTTGCTTTGCCTGCGGTTACGCCGGCCACGTAGCACGTTATTGCACTCGCGTACAGACGCCCCATATCTCGTCGCCAGTTGCTGGCCAGATCAGGCGTACCTATCACGAGGAAACGCCGTCTATGCCACCGCCAACTCGCCTAGCTTCATCTTCTCGTAGGTCACCGTCAGCTCACATGTCGCACGCCAGTCTACAACCGTTACCTTGCCCTGACCGTCCCTTTGGGCGCGTAGGTATCGATTTGTATGGACCACTTCCTCTGACGTCGGCTGGTAACCGCTGGGCCATCGTTGTCGTTGACCATTTAACGCGATACGCCGAAACCGCCGCTCTCCCTGCGGCTGCTGCGCGCGATGTTGCGTCCTTCCTGCTGCATCGATTTATACTGCGCCACGGACCACCCCAAGAGCTTCTCAGCGATCGAGGCCGTGTCTTCTTGTCGGAAGTCGTCGAAGCCATTCTGACGGAGTGCCATTCTGTCCACCGCAAAACTACTGCTTACCACCCACAGACGAATGGCCTCACCGAACGCTTTAACCGCACCCTCGGCGACATGCTTTCTATGTACGTCGCTGCCAACCACACTAATTGGGATAATATACTGCCCTTCGTCACCTACGCCTACAACACCGCCCCTCAGAGCACGACTGGTTTTTCACCTTTCTACTTGCTGTACGGAAGGCACCCGTCGCACACCATGGACAAGATACTCCCGTACACGCCGGATCCATCTGAGTGTACACCTATTTCCGAGACAGCCAGGCTTGCTGAAGAGTGTCGCGAGCTTGCCAAGACTTTTACAACGCAAGAGCAAGAGCGGCAGAAGAGTATCCGCGATGGCTCCACCACTTCTGAGCCCACGTTCCTTCCTGGTGCGCTTGTATGGCTCTCGATCCCGACCTCTGCCGCTGGCCTCTCTTCCAAACTACGTCCCAAATACGAAGGCCCCTACCGTGTCATCGAGCGCACCTCACCTGTCAACTATCTGATCGAACCCGTTGAACAATCTTCGGACATGCGCCGCCGTGGGCGAGACATCGTCAACGTGGAGCGCCTGAAGGCTTATTATGACCCGCTCATAATAACAAGCTGTTAGGTCGCCAGGCGGCTCCCTCTTCGACCCCGGGGTAATTGTAGCGAAGCCTCCGAACTATGAAATGGGTCGAACTCTTGAGTACCTTCTAGTGGGGCTACCCAACAAGGACGCCGCTCGCGCTGAGAGCCCGTGCTTGGCCGTTACTGTCGCCATTGTGCTTGCTCGCTGTGGGCCGGCTAATAAACGCCTTAACAATATATAATATTTTATTATAGAATTCCTGAAAACTGCATGTGCAATAATATTTGATTCAATGGTGCTATATCTGCTATCTTCTTTTGTTTGCTATGACTGAATATAAACAGGCAAACTAAGTCCCACTCTGTGCAGTAAGCTCGTGCAATGCAAGCATTGATTAACTTTCACTTAAACTTCATACTGTAAGTTGCATTGAAAATATTGCATTGTCAGTAAACTGATGAAATGAAGCATGACCAAATGATTTTAGATTTGCTCAGTCATATTCGAAAATTGACAATACCGCATGCATGTTATTCATAATACTGATATTTTATTGTACTCTATATGCTTTACCACAGGTGTAAGTGTGCAGCACTACAACAGAACTTTATGGTCGAAAAATGTCAGTATTAAGTTCCCCTCCCCCTAATGCCAATATGTTTCGGATCCACAGCTGATGTCACTGATATTTATTCACTTATTTAGCCTTTTGCTCCTCTAATCTCATCCGATGTGTTTGTCATACTTTCTGTGTGCACTGTTGAACACAAAAAAAATCAACCTCTATATGTGCTTCTGCTTTTTTTTTTTGCAGCTCGTCCAGCCAGATCGAACATTTATTCGTTACGACTTTGTGACAATACCTGTGAGTGGCTTTCTTTCTTTCTTTCTTCTGGTCACAGATGACTAAATATTTTGAGCTCGGTAGAATCGAAGGTCGGCAGTGCCTCATAACGCTTTTCACTATCCACGCTCTTACAGGGTGGCCTCGGCACAAAAAAAGACAGATGCCTTTTCTTGTTTTCCGACCTTTTGCTGATCACAAGCATCAAAAGAAAGAGTGGGACAATGCGAAAAACGTCGCCTTCTTCGTGAGCCTTTTTTTTTCTCTCTCTCTCTTTTTTAATGAAAACTTACAAGCATATGACTGGTTGTACTTGTTCACTCGCCGGGCTATTTAGAGATTAATGGAAACAGCACATGAAATTGACCAGTCACTTGTCTGCTGTGACAAGCTGGAACAACTGTACAAATGTGGAAGCTGGTGGACGTTAGTGTTGTGGTGAAGTTTGGCATGGCTGGTCTTATGCCACCAAAGAGAATAATTTATTATTTATAGCCTCGAGCATTTGTTTGCTGACTTTTTATGTTGTTTTCAGTGCTGAGAAAAAAAAAAAACACCTAGGCAGGATCACTTCTTTAAGAAAAAGAAGAGTATTTCCCTGGCTACTTCCTCCTCTCCTATTTGCTGAGAAATATCAATAATCAGTGGCAGAATAGAGTGACAGCAGCTTTATAAAATGTAGTGCAGTGCTTTCTCCTATCATGATTCAGGACTGCTGCATCCTTGTGGAATAGTGTAAAAAGCACGGGCCAGCATGTATAGCCTGCTCTTTGGTTTACTAGAGGCTTCGTTACTTAAGCTTGCTTCCCTCCTATTTTGGTACAGCGTATTATTTCTCTAGCACTCCTGGCTTCACATGTTCAATTGCCCACTGACCCAGTGACTGGGCTAGTTATGTAGATTGTGGTAAGCTACAGGATGGTGTGCATTCATTAGCAAGTTATGATGGCTTCACTTCAGTGAGCAGTATGTTTTATAAATCAGAAAACTTCAAACTAATTGTCCGATTAAAGTTGAAAATACATGCTTCTTGTGCATAAATTGAAAGGAACTGAAGAAAAAGCATGTGGAGAATGAGAATGAAGGTTTCAACTTCACCCCATTGAATGCTGATAGATTAATTCAAAGCTCGGAGATAGGTAGGCATGCAAGTCAAATAAATAAATATATAAATAAATAAATAAATAAATCATTAAGTGATATTAGTTTTCACTTATGAAGAATGATGAATCATTATTATATATTATAAGATCATACAATTGCTAAACCTTCACGAATCGAATATAGACTTTACTCTGAAAACTAAACAATTTAAATGTCATCATAAATCCTTTCTTCTTTTGACTAAAGACATAGTAGATCCATAGGCTTTTATATTTAGGAATACTTGTATACTGAGTTGATTTTTTTTCTTACTGTGAACAATGATACTTAAACAGAATCGTTTGATACCAAAATTGTTTCCTGTTTATGTAAAACATATTCTGAATGTATATCATGTAGAAATAAGCTATGTAACTAAATAAGATATGTATAATGTCACTTATTTGTATATGTATGTTACTGATGTGTGAATTATGTGTAATATGGCACTGATGCAGACTGTATCAGGAGGTCAAGACCTCGTCAGGCTATTCAGCCTTTAGTCTTTGCCTCCCGCAGGGAAGTTTTTGTATTTTTTTTTTTCCTGCAAATAAACTTTGAAACTTTGAAAAATACTAAATAATTAAATCAGTCATGCTGTAATTTTGTTTAATACCACATTTACGATACCGTTCACATTGCATAGCATTTTTTTACGGCATAAGTCAGAGATCACGTCATCTAAAATAAGCTCGTCAGTGCCATGGACACTAGAGGTAATGTTCATTTATTTATAAGGGTTTTGTTCATTTGTTTATAAGAGTCATGTTCATTTATTTGCATGTTAAGCCAAGACAAATGTGGATAGAAAAAAAAGGAACACCTTGGTTTGGCGATAAAGTGACGTGATAAGCAAACTTGTGTCATTTGGATCAATTACAAACAACAGCAGCGTTCACCAAGAAACAGTCGGAACCATTATGCTAAAAGCATCACTAAAACAGTTTTTTGAGTTATTATACACTGGAAAGTTAGTATTCGTAATAAAGAAACAGAACAAGATGTGCCTGATATATTTTTGTCTGTGTGCAGGAGTTCTCCCGCTGGTTTTGGATTCTCTGTGTTTGATATGAACAAGTACAAACTGCTGCTTAGGTTTTCCCTTGACAACCTGGACATCTTGAAATGTGAGTTCTTATTTTTTCTTTCTTATTTTTTTTCAGCTATAATGTTCCAAGTAGCAGAGGAAAATAATGGCCTGATTTCATCTTGAAGGCTTCGTTTTGCTCGTGCTACCACTTGAAGTAAATTTATATGTTTGTATTTCATTGGGATCGCTATTGAACTGGTGTTGTTGGCGCATAACAAAGAAAGATCATCAGTGCTATAATGGGATGTAACGACAATAGACACAGAGCTGTATAACGATCATTGTTCATTATACCTAGTATTCTAAATAATAATATTTATTATGTTGTATTGTTTGGTGATTAGCACTGCCTAGTTATATTTCAGTACGGAGTACAATAAACATGCTTATGGTGTTTCTCTTTTAAGTGGCATGAAAATGGGACAAGTTTAAGTTGTATCTGGCAGTAAGCAGGTCCTGTGTTGTTGAAGAATACAAGTGTTTAATATTAGTCAGGTCATGTAGCTTCAATAATGCGGACGTATTTTCTGTTGGAGCTACATGTTTCTATATGTATATTGTTACCGTCTACAAGAGGGTCTATTCAGACGCAACATAACAATATAACATGGCTCTGATAGCTTGAGTTTTCTGACATGAAAGTTTTACATTTAAGTATGCTGAGAAGTTTGAAGAATTATAGGCTCCCTGAGCTTGCGTCAATTGTGCGAAACTGGGCAAGAGATGGTGTGGGGCTTAAACTCTAAAACATGGTTTTTCAAACTGGGACATTGTTCAAGAATAAAACGTGTAACAAGGACGGAAGCTGCAATCTCAACAGTTGAAAAACATTCTGCCTGTGTCAAATGCCGTGATTCTTGCTGTTGCTTTACCTTCTGTGCTTCTTTAGTGCTCCTTAATGTTAATATTGAAAATACAATTTTGACTCCTGGCCAATTTAGTATTAATAAACCAGCAATCACATTCTCTGGCAGTTAGTACTATACATGAAGATGATTCGGTTGTTACTGAAGGATGACATTCACTTTCAGCTGCTGATGTGGGACTTAAGAAAGCCATACGAGAAGCAGAAAATTTGGAAGAAGACATGTCGGTTATAACACAGATATCCGAGCTTGCCTCTCGACTGAACTGCCCTCACCAGGTATGAAAAGAAAATTTCAACCGGTGAAATTGATAGCAGTTAATTTTTGAGAACACTGAGATTTGCTGTGCACATTATCCATGTCCACAATAATAGTGTAATTCTTATTAAACACCATGCTTGAGTGTAGTGCGTGCCGATCTTGTGAGTCCTAAATCAAAACCTCAGTTTATTCATCGCAAATACTGTACCAGAGAAGCAGTTCTCTTAGTGAATGGTGGAGTGGCAATGTCTAGGTAAGTAAAATTGCCTGTTATAGAGACGGTGAATCTGTACTGTGTACTGTTCGTCATCTGCAAATTGACCTTGTGTGCTGCACTGCACAAACTAATGCACCCCTTATTTTTAGAACCCTCTTTGAGGTGTGTTCAATCACAATGCTGATGCTTACTATTGTTGGGAATACTTTGTCCTGCGTACAAAACTTCTTGGAAGGGATACTAAAGGCAAATAACAATTTATGTCAGAGTGAAAGCGCAAAGTATGACAATGTCTAAAACGGCAATATTATCCACAGCAGCGCCCTACTTACCAAGAAATTATGCTAAATGTACCACACGACGGGCCCCATGAATGGGATATTTTGGAAGTGATCCCGATGACATGAGAGCGCCTGACTACAATTTATCACTAGTAATCAAACTATCTGCAATAAAAAAGACCCTTTCAGGCATCAAGACACGTAATAAAATGCTGCTTGTTTGACCAATAAAAAGAAGTATGTTTGACTTATAAGTCTGTTTGACTTATAAAAAAAAATTGGCCCAGTATTTGCATGTAATCTGCAAATGTCGTCAAAAGACGACATTTGCACGACACGACATTTGAAAGATTACATTGGTTTTGCGTGTGGAAAAAGTGAACAAATCATTTATTTGATGTTCTGCGCAAGAAAATTGGTGAATGGTATTCTGGAGGCGCTGCGTTAGAGTGCCTCGAGCGTGCAGCGGAGGCGAACGAGCGCATCAAGTCACGTCACACGTGAAACATCAGCGCCATCTGGCAGTTTTCTAGGAAAATGAAGCGCGTGGCTCTGAGACGGGTGTGCGCGCCCGTCTCAGAGGTGATAAAGTGTATAACGCAAGGCGACGGGTAGGTGCCACCACCGTCTCGTCTTAGCAAAGCGTTGGAAACACTCGCCTTTTCGTGCAAGCGTTGCATGGTCAGCACAGTGTAATTAATGCTACAGTCCTTAGAATTACTTATGTATGTCTTTTCTAGCAAAAGACGCACATTCAGAATATATACGTGTTGTTATGGTGCCTCAGATATGCCCAATAATTGCTTTTTAATTGACAATCACAGACGTATGAACGCTGAATCTGGAGCAACATTGGTGAGCGCTGCGAATGGGGTCAGCCGTTCGGCGTATCGTCTGGTGCAGTTTAGACTACCCGGTTCGTGGTAGCGGGGGACAGACAGACCAAAGTTTTGGCTTCGAAGGTCCCCAAGAAAGAAAAAGAACTGCCTAGGGTTACTATGGGGAATGGTGCGAGTGTTTAGAAAATTCTGTTTTCGCCAAGTTAGGCTGGATAGGTGGTGTCATCAGCAGAGCCCAGTTTAATCAAGCAAGCAGAACCATGGTCTCCGAGATTGCAGAAAATTGCTCACTGGCTCTTGTTGCTGGTGTGGTTCCCACTACTTTCGCTTTGCTGCTACTAGTGTTGGCGGCCGTGCAGCAAAGCTGGGCAGCATTGTGCACAGCAACAGTGATGTGAGATGAACCACTTTCAGGCGGGAGATTTGAGGTGCGCTAACATGACGCGGGAAACTAAAACGGGATTTTCTTTTAAAATAAGCACTTCCTTGGCACAAAAGTAGCACTACAAGGTTTCTGGAGCATGACTCGCCGTGGTGGTCTAGTGACTAAGGTACTTGACGGCTGACCCGCAGTTCGTGGGATCGAATCTCGGCTGCGGCGGCTGCACTTTCGATGGAGGGGAAAATGCTGTAGGCCCGTGTGCTCAGATTTGGGTGCACGTTAAAGAACCCCAGGTGGTCAAAATTACCGGGGCCTTCTACAACGGCATCTCTCATAATAATATGGTGGTTTTGGGACGTTAAACCCCACGTATCGACTGATCGAGGTTTTTGGAGTGCCATTTTAGCAGTCAACATCGACTTAATATTTGCCTTTAGTGTCCCTTTAATAGCTGTCAAGTAATGAATGCTTGATAAACCTAACAGTTTATTGTACTGGAGGCCACAGTTGACCTTTTTCAGCATCACTTGCAAATACTAAATTGACAATATGACATTTTGTTTTTATAGACCCTGGATGATGCAGTGAAAGAAATCACAAATTGCCTGAACAAGCAACTTGCTGAGCGTCAGAGCTATGACTTGCAACTGCTGAACCTGCAGCTCTCAGTAACCACTCCGTAAGTGCTTCAAGCAAATAAAGTCTGAAATCAGAGTGAATTTACGCTTATTGCAGTTCAGAGTAAATTTGCTTATTGCAGCATGAAAAAGAGCTGTGAACACCTTGACCCAGAGTCTTCATAAGATTCTCTTATGTTACAGAGAGGGTGTTGAAAACATAGCTATTATATTCCCTTCCACTGAGAAACGGTCTTCGTGGGAAGTTGCCTTCAACGAAGCCAAGCAGAAACTTGGTGAGTGGCACAATTCTAAAACTCTGACAATATTGGTGCACGAGTTTAATACTGCAAACCTAAACTGATTCTTTGTGCAGCATATCATCATACAGGTAGTTGCATTACTAGTTGCCTTCTCTGGGCATTGTGCAGTGATTCTAGCAATGCATTGTCTAAGCTCTGCTTAGGTCATCAAGACCAGATGTTATGGATCATTGGGTATTGTGGTATTTCATGAGGTCTTGGGATTTGTTCCTTGTTGTACAAGTCGCGCTACTATATTGCTAGCAGAATGCATATTTTTTTTTTCCTGAAGGGTCCCTAACAGAAGGGACATTACATGAGGGGTGGGTCTACAGGACATGGGTAAAGGCAAAGTTGGATGTGCAAGAAAACAAAAAAAAAATAGAAATTTTAGGATATAGCTGAAGTGACCGAAACAAACAAAAAAAAAGAGAAGAGGGGGGGGGGTAACAGGTACATTTGTTTGTGGACTCTAGATAAAAACATTTTACAGTTACAAAAGATACCACTTATAAGGTACAAAACATTGCCAAGTACACAAAATATACATACACGCCATACTAGGAAGATGACACTAGAAACCATTACACAAGAATTAGCATTGCAAGTCACCCGAAAAAAACTTTATTACGGTTCAGTGGTGGTTGACAGAGAATTTTTAAAGGCTTTTGCATCCTGAATGCTAACAATAGTATCCGGTAGGGCGTTCCATTCCTTAGCTGTCCGAATGAAAAAAGATTTTGCAAGTGTGGTAGTTTTGGGACGAGGGTAATGTACTTGCATAGTGTTGCAACAAGGATCAGAGAAATAGGGGCGTTGGGTGACGTAAATGCTGGATGGGGATGCGTGATAGAATTTGTGGAATAATACGAGCCGCGCAGTTTTTCGGCGTTGACTAAGAGGAATGAATTCGGCACGTTTCTTTAAGTCTGTTATACTGGTGAACGATGAGTAATCGGAAAAGGCGAATCTGGCAGCGCGGTTTTGGATGGCTTCTAGGTTTTGGATGAGATAATGCTGGTGTGGGTCCCAAATTGCTGCGGCATACTCCAATTTGGGTCGTATTATTGTGGTGAAAGCTAATATTTTTAAGTGGCTGGGAGCAAACTTCAGAGTTCTTTGGATATAACCTAAAGATCTACTAGCTGTTGAAATGACATGATTGATGTGGAGGGTCCATGATAGGTTACTTGAGATATATATTCCAAGGTATTTATACGAGCTAGTCGGTTGTAGAAAACTGTTATGTAGGGCGTAGTTGTACTTTAACGGATTAGTGCGTCTGTGAAAAGACACTGATCTACATTTAGAAATGTTTAAACTCATCTGCCACTTGTGGAACCAATTTTGAACGGCTGTTTGGTCTGCTTGTAAAGCTATTTGATCTTCATGACTAGCGATTATTGTGTAAATAACGCAATCGTCGGCGAATAATCTTATGTTGTTAGTAATACAGTGTGGAAGGTCGTTGATGTAAATCAGGAAAAGCAGGGGGCCAAGTACTGTTCCCTAGGGAACACCTGATAGGACGGGAGAGATTTGAGACCTAGCTGTATTTATGACGACGAACTGTTTTCTGTCAGTGAGAAAGTTATTAATCCAGGACAAGACGAATGGGTCGAGATTAAGCAAAGAAAGTTTGGTCATAAGGCGGTGGTGAGGAACTTTATCAAAAGCCTTTTCAAAGTCAAGAAATATGGCGTCAGTTTGGATGTTCCAGTCAAGATTTGTGTGCAGGTCATGGATGAAGGCAGCAAGTTGCGTTTCACACGACAGGTCTTTTCGAAAACCATGTTGGGAAGGGTGAATGAAGTTGTGCTGTTCGAGGTGATTAATGATGTTGGTAAATAAAATGTGCTCCATAATTTTGAATGGGACACTTGTAAGCGATATGGGCTGGTAGTTATATGGGGATGCTTTGTTGCCATTTTTGAACAATGGAAGTTTCCAATCACTTTGCACCTGTCCCTGTGAAAGTGATTGAGAGAAGAGCAGCTGAAATGCTGCGCTAATTATAAATTGTGTATTCTTTAATATTTTGCTGTTGATGTTATCAATTCCACTAGAAGATGAGAGTTTCATTTTTCTAATTACGTTACTTATTCCATTTGCAGATATTTCAATTGGCCGTTTAATTTTAATTTAATTGCCCATGTGCTACAATTTTAATAGATGTTAATAACCTCAGAGTGGACAAAACTAATGTGGAGCCTAGCACTACTACCATATTTACTCGCTTAATCCTCACACTTTTTTTGCCGGAAAAACGATGCAAAGTTGGGGGGTGCGAGAATTACGCGGGGAAAACTTTCCACGAAAACGTACAGAGCGAAAAAGAGAACGAAGTGGCCGCAAATCGGGATTCTCACACCAGCAACTAACAGCAAGCTTTAAGAAGTATTAATTAAAACTTACCTCAACAATAAAAGCAGAGGCTTAACACAGGACAAGATTTATTTGAGACACAAAAAGTGGAAGCAAATAGTCCAGAACTAGAATACCACACGCAAAGCTTGTGGACGTTGCGTGCGTAGTGGTAGCCTTCGTTGCTCAACAAGAGCCCTCAAAAGGTAAGTGTAGGACGTCAGTATTGGGCTGATGGCTATTTAACAGAATCGTTCACAGTTTCCTCATGAAGAATTAAAGGTTACCATCAATCCCAGTTTTAGGCACACGGCAGGCCCAACGTGTCTTGGTGGCTTGCAGCTGCCGTCACCAGTAGCGAACACAAAACTCGTAGACTCCGAAGGGCCTACCGGCGGCCCTGTTGCCGTTTAGTGCATGATCTATCACTTTCAACGCGGCGCAACGCGCACTGGCCACTTTGGCTAGGCTTGGATTTGATTGAATATTCGTGCAATAGTACGCTTGATGGTTAAGAGATGGCTCCAGATGGCGCGTGCTATCATCATCAGTGGCTAGAACGAGCAGACGACATTATTGCGGCAGTTTTCGGGGGTGCGATAATTACTCGAGGAAAAAAAGAAATCGTATTTTTGTTGGGCGATGTGGGGGGTGCGAGAATTATGCGAGTGCGAGGATTACGCGAGTAAATACGATACTTCTTTCGTAGCTTCTGTATTGCTTTAGTATGTAGACTTCATAAGTGAACTGATTGTAGCTACCTTGATTCTAGTTAAACCATTACCTGCTGTGGTGGTCAACTGCTGAACCGAAGGTTGTAGGGTCCAATGCTATACTATAGCTGGGGCAACCGCATTACGATAGAGGCAATATTCTAACAACTCGTGCACTTATTTGATTTAAGTGCACATTAAAGAACCTCAGACGGTTGAAATTTCCAGAGCCGTCCAGTATCGTGTCTCTCATAATATTGACACGGGTCAATATCATGGTTGTGGGATGTAAAATTCAACAATATTATGTTAGGTAATTCTTTCGTTTGGCACCAGTGACCACTGAATTCAAAATATTCTTAAAGAGCTAACTTATACTTTATCGCTACTTGAAAAGCCATTTACATATACCTTGAATCCTTGACACTGATAGATTGTAATTGTGCGTGCAGCGCTGTCCACAGACCGGCGGCCACCCCCAGAGTTCCTGCACCCTGTGCCAATCCGCAAGACTCGGGCGGGACTGCAGTTTACGTGCGCAGTGGCCACCCTGGGCCTCAATGCCCATGGCCTGCGAGACGTCTGGGTCTGCAACAGCGATGGCTACGTTGGCCAAGTGTGCGTGTTGAGCCTCCAGCCGGAGCCCACGGTCATGTCCTGCAACGGTGTCTGCAATGCCCGCATTCTCTGCATCGCTTCCATCCCGGCGGCCAGCCCAGTGTGAGCAAGCAGCCTGTCGTTGTCATGCACTCGATACACAAACACAAAGAAGTGAAAGCAAGGAGAAACCCTTAATTGGCAGAGTTAGCCTATCTGATCCACAGCTTTAGAAATTCCTTCCGCTTTTGTGGTATGAAGTTGAACCATAAGATTTCCTACAATAGTTACTCGAGGGAACTAGAGTGCACGCGCCCTGATCATTCATTCCGCCACCGTGAAATTATGAGTACGTAGTACATAGATTTGCCTAATTTTTTTGCTCGTAGCTTTGAACGCACTTGTAGCTTTGTTTGTTGTTGCGTTCTGATGTTCATTTCGTATCAAAGGGTCATTGTGAACTTTGTGACCCGATGTGTATTGTTGAGCATAAAAGGTCAAGGTGGTGTATTGGAACTGCTGAGTGTTTGCTGAACTTTGCCAGAAGCAGCTGTAGGTGACACAGAGCCAAACAAAGCCAAAAGAATGAAGCTTACACAAATCCATATGCTACCCATTATTCCCTTGCTCGCTGAAGCACCATATGTTGCAGCTCCCATATACAATAGTGCCAGATTTTCCCTTAGTGTATTATTAGGCAACTATCCGAATTTATAGGACATGTATCATTGTACTAACCTTGTTGGTCTTTGTTACTTTTTGTATTGAAACGAGATAGAAGATAAGGGAATAATCGAGGCTTGAACTGACTGGAAGCCATTAAACATGTAATATTATTGGAGCTACCGTATTTACTCAAATGTAACGCAACCACGATTGTAACGCGAGGGGTGACTTTTCAGTGCCCCCCCCCAAAAAAAACACGAATGTAAAAAAAGTATCTTTATTTGCTGCACATGGTAGTGGCAAAGACATCCCAGTTTCTAAATATTAACTCAGTTTTGTTCATTCGTCTTTTTCATCGTTATCATCGCCGGTGGTCAAGTCCTCTTTGTCACTTCCTTCCTCCCAGATGAAGTCATCCTCCGTGCCATCCATATAGTTCGATATGCAGCACTTTTTAAACGCGCAAACTATCATGTCGTGCGGCAGGTTGTACCAAGCTGCGCACACCCACTCGGCAATCTTTGCGGCGCTAGGTCGCTTCATCCTACCCATAGGTGTCAAAGCCCGATCTTATGGCATCCATTCTCCGTACAGCTGCCGCATTCTATCCTTGAATGGTTTGTTCAGGCAGACGTCTAATGGCAGCAGCATGGAACGTCATACCTCCGGGAATAACGGCGAGCTGCGTCGGAGTTTCCCGTATCAACTTCTTCACTTCGGGCGTCAAGTGACCGCTAAATGAGTCGAGAACTTGAATGGAGGCGGGGTGGAGGAGCACACTTGGCCGTCGGCACCACACAGTCTTGACCCAGTCAAGCATAAGCGGAGTGTCCATTCAACCTTTTTCTTGGCAGCGAACAATCGCATCCCTGGTGAACAGCTCCTTCGGGATGGTTTTGCACCGGAAAATGATGTATGGCGGCAACTTGCGCCCAAGCAGGCTAGCATCACGATTAGCCGCGTCTTCTCGTTGCCTGTTGTCCTTATGCGAAATTGGGGGGCTCCTGTTTCGCTGACAGTCCTTGACATAGGCATGTCCAAGAAAATGGGAGTCTTGTCCGCATTGCCAATGTGCCCCAACGGCATTTGCGATGAGCGGCACAGGTCGAGCACATAGCGTTGAAAGTCCACTAGCCTTGCTTCGCAATCTGCTGGTAACTTCTGCCTTATCGACGCTGTTCGCCAGAGGAAAAATTCATTTCCTCGCATGAACTTTTGTGCCCATCCACGTGAAGCCTTAAAGTTCTTCCGCGGGATTCCCGTCTCTCGAGCTACGTCTCGGGCTTTCTTTGACCCCCAATAGGCAATTTCGCTGTTCAATCACGAACCCCGCCACCTTTTTTCGAGCTCTGTGTGACGGCCACAACGTTGTCCACGGAAGCCTTTTTGGCCGGGCTCACTCTTGAAGAGCGCTTCATGCTGGAGCGTCCACCTATGGATAGTAGATTCCTCCACATCTAGCCGTCCAGCCGTGGCTGAGTTCCCGATTTCCTCAGCCATCAGTATTGCATTTATATTAAAGTGGGCTTCGTACTGAACTCGTCACACTGCCATTTGCTTGAGCTGAGGTCGCGGAAGCACAAAGGAAATGAACCGCCCGCAAAATACGTCGCCATGTGCACGTCGCAAACAATAAGATTGGATTGGATTTAATTCGATTTTGCCATCATGCATATGTTGCTGGACAAGGTTGAAAGATCGCTAGGTTTGTTGTAGCCATTTTAAGGAACCAGTGGGTGGGGGGGCACCGCCAAGGCACGAATTGAGGTGCTTAGATTATAACACGGACCCCCAAATCGCTTCAGAGAAATTTCGAAAAGAACTCGCGTTACATTCGAGTAAATACAGTATTCAACAAGGAGAACTTTTTTTGTTAAAGCATTGGCATGAGCAGCATTTCTTATGTTTGGTAGGTGATTTACTTTTTATCAATACATAGTCACTTTGCTTTCAGGTACCTACATTGATAATATTACATTCTCTATGCCATACGAGTTTCTTTCTTTATTTTTGCTATTGAACACTGTATGCGTAAGGACTCAGTCATACCCATCTTGAACAACAAAGACACATATAATGGCATACTTTTATGCAACAATGGCTGCAATGAGTAAACATTGAATGCTTTGAAAGAAAGATGCTTTCAGCTCCCACATTCGAGAAAACTCATCCAAAATCACGAGCAGTTTCTGCAAGAGAAGCAAGGATGCATTTAAGCACTTTGCATTATTAAATATAATAAATGCTCTGTACAGTATGCTTGTGTATTTTTATAGCGACATCAAATATTTTTAGTTTAACAGCTTGTATGTGCAACAGCTCGTATTAGCTCCGTCATGTCGCAATGAATCTGGTTTCTCAAGATAATGTTGGTACTGATCTATGTATGCATTTGAGTCAGAATTAACCAATTATGATCCAAGCTGATGATTGTAGAAATGTAAACATGTACATTACTTAGGCCTAAATTGTCCCATTTCAATCCGTTAGTAGTGTGCATCTGGGAACTAAATGAAAACTCAAATATGAAATGTCGCTGTTACCTAAGGGCAGCTGTTATTAAACAATAAACAAAGCATGGTTAACCCTCCTGGAATAAGGCTCTTCAGTTTCATGAAGCAAGCTGTACCTACTTCATGTATCAAGGTTTGTTTGGAATGCCTTCGAACATGGTATAAGAGCACAACATCACAAATTCTCCTACCCTGTCATAATACTGCACAATGTAGCAAGCCGTGCTATCAAAGAGGCATCTCCTTGTACCAGTGCCTAATATATTGTTGCGGGTTCGCGGCTATGCAGCTATGCGGGCGGTGCGAAGAAGAAGACGACGACGTTTTTGGGCTGTTCGAAAATACACAACGGCTGCCATCTTGACTGCTGGAGTACTTTTCTACTCTAAAGTAGTAAATACATTCGCAACATTTTGGTGGTGGCGCTGGGTACGACGCAAGACGGAACTTCGAAGCGGACGTGTTCTCGACTGCCCGACCATGGCAACAGAAACCAATTCTGCCGCTCCTGTTTCAGCCGCGACTCCGGCGCAGCCTGTACAGCCGGTCGTATTGACGCAACCGCGCGACCCTGGCAACTTCTGCGGCACCGACCATGTTGACGTTGACGACTGGATTCCGAAGTTCGAGCGGTTTGCAGCAGTGTACCGGTGGGACCCTACGATGATGCTCGCCAACGTTGGCTTCTATCTCTGCGGAACAGCTGGCGCGTGGTTCGAGGCTCATGAAGCGGACATAACCAGCTGGGATACTTGCAAACAGAAGCTTCGTGACCTGTTTGGTAAGGCCGTCGGACGCCAGCGGGCCGCTTCTAAAGAACTCTCTGGTCGGGCACAAACTACGACCGAATCATATGTCACCTACATCCTTGACGTTCTCGCCCTTTGCCATCGTGCCGACCCCAACATGTCCGAGGAAGACAAAGTAAGCCATTTACTTAAAGGCATTGCAGATGATGCTTTTAACATACTGGTTTCCAAAGACTGTTCCACCATTGATGACATCATCAAAGAGTGCCGCCGATTCGAAGAGCTGAAGAGTCGCCGGGTCGCCAAGAATTTCTTGCGTCTTCCGAACACGGCCGCTACGTCATCTTGCGAGGACCTTCAGCCGCCATGCAGTCAACCACATAACAACGAGAGTGTGGTTCGCATCGTTCGTAGAGAAATCGAGGCCGCGTCTCCGTCTTTTCTGACCCGCCCATCTGATGATCGACCAACGATCTCGTTGATCCAACAGGTCGTGAGAGAGGAGCTGGCAAACGTTGGGCTGCAGCCTGTATGTTCGTTGACGGAACCTCGGGTCAGTACCATAGCGCCTTCTCCTGCACCAGAAAGATTCCGCCGCTATCGTGATCCTGCTCAGTGGAGGACACAGGACGACAAGCCTATATGTTTTCATTGTCATGGTGTAGGACACATCTCCCGCTACTGTCGTTTCCGCACGTATCCACCTCGGTCGTTTCCTGGCTATCGACGTGACGACAACCACCGGCCCCTGCAGTACAGCGCTCGTGACGATGGACCGTACAATGGCACTCCTGCGACGCCAGTCCGCCGGTCCAGCCGTTCGCCGTCCCCGCATGACCGTCGCTCCAGGTCACCTCAGCACCGCCGCTATTCGTCGCCCCACCCTAGTGGACGCCCTTCTTCGGAAAACTGAGCAATGCAGCTCCCGGAGGTGACGCTGCATTGGACTCCCGACCTGAAAACCCTCTGCTGACCTTGACTACGGACAAAAACCTGCTTGATGTAGAAGTGGATGGCCTTCCTGTTACTGCCCTTATTGACACCGGCGCACATATTTCAATTCTGAGCTCTGACCTCCGTGCACGATTAAACAAGGTCCTTACGCCGCCAGAGTCCCTATTTGTACGTGTCGCTAGTGGAGCGACCCCGGCTGTGCTCGGAATGTGCACCGCGCGTGTGAGATTCGCCGACCGCCAGACGTCCGTTCTATTCCATGTTCTCGCTCACTGTCCACATGACGTCATCCTTGGACTCGATTTTTTGTCCGACCACTCCGCTGTAATTGACTGCTCAGCCGGCGTCGTGCAACTTGACTTGCCTGCGGCCACCGAAGAGTCGAAGATGGTACAGAACAAGCTTTCGTGCGCTGAGTTTGTTCGCCTCCCACCCCAAGCCCTAACTTGTGTCACAGTTGAACCATATCCCAGTGTTCCGGATGGGGATTACGTGGTCTTTCCCTCTCCTGGTGTTTTACTGGCCCGCAACGTTTCCTCCCCGTACACCATATTAACTGTCACAGCGAACAAGACGTGCCTTCCTCTTCTGAACTTCGGACTCAGCCCTCAAATCCTACCACAAGGCATTGTTCTCGCCACTCTTTCACCGTCACACGAGTGCCAGATCTCATCAGTGTCACGTGAACTGGCCACAGTCGCCTCGCCGAACCCGCATAGCACCGACGCAGCCAACTCTACACGGCTCAACAATGTAACTAAGATGATTGCCTCAGACCTGTTGCCGTCTCAGGTCAAAGACCTCACTGATCTTCTCACGAGCTATTCGGACATATTTGACTTTGACGGTAGGCCCATAGGTCAAACATCGCAAGTCAAACATCGCATTAATACCGGTGATGCAGCTCCAATTCACAGGCGTCCCTATCGAGTGTCACCATCAGAGCGCCAAGTTATCCAACAGGAGGTGAATAAGATGCTCACAAAAGGCATCATAGAGCCCTCATCGAGTCCGTGGGCGTCCCCTGTAGTCTTAGTTAAAAAGAAGGACAATACCTGGCGTTTCTGCGTGGACTATCGGCATTTAAACAAGGTCACCAAAAGGGATGTCTACCCGTTACCTCGTATTGATGATGCCCTGGACTGCCTTCATGGCGCAACCTATTTTTCTTCGATAGACTTACGCTCCGGTTACTGGCAGATCGCCGTGGACGACCTCGACCGGGAGAAGACCGCCTTTGTAACGCCCGACGGTCTCTACCAATTCAAGGTAATGCCGTTTGGCTTGTGCAATGCGCCGGCAACGTTCGAGCGGATGATGGACACGCTTTTGCGCAGCTTTAAATGGTCTATCTGCCTGTGTTATCTGGACGACGTGATTGTGTTTGCCCCAACCTTTAAGTCTCACCTCGAGCGCCTTTCCTCAATTCTTTCAGTATTTCGAGAGGCTGGGCTCCAACTTAATTCTTCGAAATGCCATTTTGGGCATCGCCAAGTTACTATTCTAGGGCATCTCGTTGACTCCTCCGGCATCCGCCCCGATCCCGACAAAGTCCGAGCTGTCCTGGATTTTCCTGTACCGACTTGTGTCAAGGACGTTCGAAGTTTTGTGGGCCTATGCTCATATTTCCGACGATTTGTCAGAAACTTCGCAGAGGTCGCACGCCCCCTCACTGATCTTTTGAAGAAAGATGTACCATTTGAGTGGGGTCCTGATCAAGGCACGGCCTTTTCCCAGCTCATAACACTTCTGACCACGCCACCGATTCTCGCCAACTTCGACCCGTCTGCTCCAACCGAGGTCCGCACTGATGCTAGTGGCTACGGTATTGGCGCGGTTTTAGCCCAGCGTCAATCCGGTCACGATCGAGTTCTTGCGTATGCCAGCCGGCTCCTTTCTCCTGCCGAACGCAATTACTCTATTACGGAACGCGAGTGCCTGGCGCTTGTATGGGCAGTTGGTAAATTCCGCCCCTATTTATATGGCCGGCCTTTCACAGTTACCACTGACCATCACGCTCTATGCTGGCTTTCAGCCCTCAAAGATCCAACGGGGCGCCTTGCTCGTTGGGCTCTGCGCCTCCAGGAATTCACATACACAGTGGTTTACAAGTCTGGCCGTTTACACCAAGACGCCGACTGCCTCTCCCGGTACCCCGTTGACGCTCCAGATCTAGTAACCGACGACGCGTCCATCTGTATTTCCTCGCTCTCTGCTTTCGGCAACATGGGATGTGAGCAACGGCGTGACGCGTCCCTACGCGAGCTAATCGACCGCCTGAACACAGGCTGTACAGACAGTTCGCTTCGTATGTTCGTTGTCATAGACGGCATTTTATACCGCCGCAACATGCACCATGTGGGAAACGAACTACTACTCGTAATACCCACTCATTTGCACTCGACCGTACTTCAGCAACTACATGATGTACCAACGGCTGGCCACCTTGGTGTTGCCAGAACGTACGACCGTGTCCGCCGACGCTTTTTCTGGCCCGGCCTCTACCGTTCTGTACAACGTTATGTTAGGTCTTGTGAGTCGTGCCAACGCCGCAAAAGGCCAGCGGTACACCCCGCCGGGCTCCTTCAACCGATCGACGTACCTGCCGAGCCTTTCTATCGTGTCGGCCTCGACCTGCTGGGCCCTTTCCCTCTTTCTACCGACGGTAACAGGTGGGTCGCCGTCGCCATAGATTACTCGACCCGTTTCGCAATTACGAGACCTCTTCCAAGCAGCTGCGCTACAGATGTCGCCGACTTTTTGATTCAAGACGTCATCTTACATCATGGTGCTCCTCGTCAACTGGTCACCGATCGCGGTCGCTACTTTTTATCTAAGGTAATTGACGATCTACTTCGTTCTTGTGCAACCAAGCACAAGCTTACGACGGCCTACCATCCTCAAACAAACGGCCTCACAGAACGTCTGAATCGCACACTCACTGACATGCTCGCCATGTACGTGTCGACGGATCATCGTGACTGGGACATTGCGCTACCCTTTGTCACTTTCGCTTACAATAGCTCACGCCACGACACTGCTGGATATTCTCCCTTTTACCTTTTGTATGGAAGAGACCCGACATTGCCGTTCGACACGCTTGTACCCAACCCTGCCGACCTGTCCACAGCATATGCTCGCCGCACTATTAGCACCGCGGAGAAAGCCCGTCAGATTGCCCACCAGCGCCTTTCGGACTCGCAGCTCCGTCAGAAACGTAGCTATGACAGCCACCATCGGGACATCCACTTTAGTCCAGGTGACCTCGTTCTTCTGTGGACTCCGTCGCGACATGTTGGTCTGGCTGAAAAGCTTCTACCCAAGTATTCCGGACCTTATCGTGTGCTACGGCAGGTAACTGATGTTACCTATGAAATAGCACCTCTAAACCCTTCGATACCTTCCACATCTTCCGACATCGTCCACGTCGCTCGCCTCAAGCCGTACATCTCGTCCAACACCTGCTAACAAGCGCCGGGTCGGCGCTTTTCGCCGCCGGAGGTCGATGTTGCGGGTTCGCGGCTATGCAGCTATGCGGGCGGTGCGAAGAAGAAGACGACGACGTTTTTGGGCTGTTCGAAAATACACAACGGCTGCCATCTTGACTGCTGGAGTACTTTTCTACTCTAAAGTAGTAAATACATTCGCAACAATATGCATACAAAGATTACCCGCTTACGAAACTTTCCAATTTATTTTGGCTGTGTTTTCTGTGCAGGCTGTCGTCAATGGGACGCCGGAAGTCACTTGTACCTGAATCAAATGCGCTCGCCAGCGTAGACGCAGAGAGTAAAGAGCAGGAGCCTACAGCAGCTCAGCCAAACAACAATGGCAATATCCAACTTGACAGGTGAGAAACGCATTCTCTTTCAGTTTCGTTGATGTGCGATTCTCGTGGAACATCAATTGTGTGAGCTTAAACCTAAGTTATGAAAGTCGTATTGCTTATATACGTTCTTCAGACAAATGCATTTCAGAAAGAAATTGTTACAGTTCCTTTCGGATGAGCATGAAGTCACAAAAATAGTTTGTGTTTTTAAGTATACATGGCTGATTCATGAGTACTATTAGCCAGATTAATTAAAAAAAAACTTATATGACTTAAAAATGATGCTTTCCAACAAACATAGTTCACAGACGTACAAAAATAAGTGAAAGTGTTGTCAAATGTAGGCGTGTACGAATATTAGAGCACTTCGAATTTTCGAATGAGTACTACAGTATTCTAATTTGCTTTGAAATTAATTTAAGTTATTGGAAACTTCAAAGTATTTGAAATGAACAAGTAGATGTATATTAATTCGCATGTAACTTTCTTGTAAAGGTGGTTTCACTACGATAGAGGGCTGCTATACCATGAACACACCTATCCAAGGAAAATACATGCCGCTGCAAAGCCCCACTTCAAGGTTAAATTAGCATATTACCTCGACATCGATGCTTCCCCTTTCAGTTTAAAAGCTTTTAAGCCGGCTTATTATATGATTTAAGGATAGTAAACTTCAAAGTGTAACATATTTTACTTGTAACACTTGCATTCTTGTGAAACTCAAATTGTACACTACTATTAAAAGTTGCCCCGGGTAGCACTAAGCAAGAGAGTAACAGAGCGGTCACCATTTGAGACATTCTAAATGAGATAGCCATCAGCTTTGCTGGCGCAAGAAGTCGTAATCACTCAAAGAATGAAACTAAAACTAGCTGCTGCGCGCGACCGGATGTGCAGTCGATGACTAGTGCACCACAGTGAAAAAAAACTGAGAGACATCACAGAAGAAACAAAAATTCCATGTATTCTCGCAATGTGGCAACACATGCTAAGCAAGAGAAACGAAAGAAAAAGGTTCACTTTAACACTCAAGTGATTACATGAATGGATCATCTCGAAAGTGTTAGCGCAGGATGTTCACGTGCATCATTGACCCTGAAGAGGTTAGCTAGTGTTGCATCTACTAATCTTCGGTCCTAACGCTTAGGCAAGGTTTGTATCATCTTTAGCAAGCAAGTCTGTTGGATTCTAACCCAGCACTCCCTAGTAACCTTGCTTACTGGGTATTCAGCTTCATTCCCGTACTATTTAAACCATTTTCACCATTTCATTCTGTGAGTATAGCGTGTCCATACTAAGGAGAGCACTTAATCTTCTAATCATACAGTGAATCCTGCAAACATGGTCTAGATCAGAACCTCATGTGCTGTTGTTGACTATATATAGCCATCAAGCAGGAAAGCAGCTTTTGTAAATTTTATATTACAATGAAGAAAACAACTGGCTTGAACACATAAATCTATCTTTTCGTTTCTTATTGGCACACTGTGCACAATGAAACTTTATTAGCTGTTGTGTTTATCGTGCTTTACCTTGGCTGATAGCAAGATCCTGATGCTCTAACCCTTCTATGTTACTATACTCTGTGATACACTATCGAACTACTAATTTATGAAAGTTATTTGGGAAATTCTCTATAACCTGTATGCTGCAGCAGGTGAAATCAAAACAAGGAAGTGCTTTTGCTATGGTCTGTACATAGGGAAGTTTTCAAAATGTCACCATGCCAACCAAAACAACAGCACAGTTGTCTCATTGTTTCCTACCCCTGGTACATTCTTAAGATGATAGCATAAGTGGTTTATTTTGGTGATGTAGATGAACAGGTTGGAAGACTCTTATTTCATTTTTTAGACAGGACGCCCCTCTGGAAACATAGTGCTATTTTATTTCAGTTTTTCTTTACATTCAATTTTGTCTTCAAATTTGCCATACTGTGTCTGGTGTTCATTGAACGTTGAGGCCCTGTCTGTGAGCAATGCTTGATGTGGTGTTTGACGTGATCACTTTCAGTGAATCCAGTGAAGATGAAGAGGAGGAAGAAGAGACGACCAGTGAATCTCAAGGTATGAAGCGCTGTTTGAAGGATGCAACAAACTATTTGTTTCATTAAAGCTCGGAGTGTTTAGATGTTTACTGCATCTATTTATGAAAAGGATCGCCACCGAAGGAAGATACTTAGTCAAACTAGATAGAAAAATATCAGGCTTTTGTTACTATAATGGGTTGATCATTAATAGAAAGAGCAGAGCTTTTGTGAGCAAGTAATGATGATAAATTAGAGTTGGGCTATACATGTTAGGTTACACTGCATCTCATGGGAATCAACACTGACTGATTTACAGAGAGAGCCAGAAAATGAGGTAATTGGTTAATTATGTCAATTCGTCTGTTTGGAACAGCAGTTCAAGCTGAGGAACAGCAGCAGAACTGCTGCTGGCAGGTTTTCAACCTAACAGTATATACGTCTCTCTGAGCTGAACTTTTTAAGGGTAGAACAAAAACTTTTGATGTTCCTTTCTGTTTAAGAGGCCATTGAAACGCATGCAAAAAAATAAAGGAGGCCTCACCAGGCTCTATGCTCCTGTTAGAATCCCAGCACGCCCCAGTTCAATTTTTTATGGCTGGGCTTCAAAATCGTCATGCGACACTGCTTCCTGTTATCTTTTTTTTCTCCATGTATGGCACAACGAGTGCCTATTACATCCTGGTGTCCAGTGTACGAGACGAATAAATACTCGCTTTGCTAGCGAATTTCCAATTACAAAAGTTACCTTTTTGCAATAATGTTTCAAGAAGACATAAGACAGCTTGCATTATTTAAATTGAATTGCGGGAAGATAGCTTCTAAAAATATTTTATATACGTACTTGAAAACATCATGCACGCATATTTTCGCGCAAGTGACACAGTTACTCTGAGGCCTCCCATAAGAATATGGGGCTGAAGGAGCAACTACATTTAAGAACATATTGCGTGACTCTTATTGCTCGACTCTTACAGAAGCTGCTAAACTGGTTTCAGTTCTCATTGAAGCTATACTTGCTTGCTTGCTATTTTGTGCAGCTTTTTTCGTCATGTCCCGTACAATGGTCGCAGGGTCAGAAAGTGATATATGAGAAAGCAATGAGAGATGTCTATGCAAGTAATCAATAGATTGAACTCACTTTATTATTTAATTATTTCTATTAGTGTCTATTTTGTATGTGTGCAATACTGCTTTCATTAAAATCCAGAAGAAAGGAAAAAAAAAAACTTCCTCATCTTGCAATGAGAAATTAGTGAACAGAGGGTGGCTGCTGGAGCCAAGCTTTGATGAGTACACCTGTCTTTTTCAAGGTTGCAACTGTTTGAGCCTTGAAGAAGACAGATCCACTTGTTAGTTGATCGGGCGAGTTGGTGATACATGATTGTTTTGAAAGCGTTTGTCCCTGTCTTTCTGTCCACGTCTAAGTAGTGCGCTCTCATTTCAAAGCAACCACTTGTTAAAACGTCGGCTTCAGCACCCACCCATGTTTACTACGAATTTTTCATGCTTTCATTGAAGTGCTCCCACCTACGAAGTATGCACTCAATGCTATGTTATCATCACATTCTTCTGCCTCAAAACATTTTGGAATGAGCTTGAGCGACAATATTTTGGAGCTGTAAGCTGCACCGGCTTTTTACCTCTGTCTTTTTATTTATAGAAGAAGAACATCAAACAAAGCCACAGGAAAACTCTAAAGTGCCAAAGGAAGAAGTTGAAGAAACTGACAATCACTTCCCTACCATGTGGTTAGGAACTGAAGACGGCTGGTAAGATGGGCTTAATTATTTTGTATAGCACAGCTTCAGTCATTGTAATGTATGGACGTAAAATATGGTGTGTGACTGTGTCTCAGCAACCTTATGGAGGCTGTCGTATAAGACAGCTATTGGTTAGTGTTGCAGATGCACGACATGAACTAGTAGTTAGCCTCGCGCAAATGTTTGAATGCTTCGGATATTCGGACGAATATCACTGTATTCGAACCAAGGAAGATTGAAGAAAAATTGATGGAGTGGAAGCTCCCACACTGCGTTACCAGCAGAAGTGAAGCCTGCTTTTGCCACTGCCAAGATGGCAGAAACATGCTCTTTTCTGGTAGTGCCCACTTAAGGATCAAGTGGCTTTGATATCTTAATGCAAATGCTATGTTAGTTCTATATTAACAGATAGTTGCTCCCAACGAAATAACACACAGAAACGAGTATGGGTAACTGAATCTCCCAAGAAGTTTGCCTTGCATTAGAGGCTCACTAAGGAAAACTAGCAACACTAAAACACACTTGGAGCATTATGTGACCCGAAAAAGTTTCCACATTAAACTCATTGGGCATGCGAGGGAAATGCTCCGTTCTTAAACGCTAAACGGTGATATTTTATCATGACGCTAGTACGATGGCTGCCGCCGCTGCATCTTGCCATAGGGACGGCTTCACTCCTGGGCAATCATTTTCACTCCAGCAATTTTTTTTAATCCTCCTTGATTCGAACTGGCTTTGGAAATTGTTAGATTGTTGTAAATTTTGAAGTACTCGAGATGAACAAATAAATGTAAAGTCTGCATGTAATTTTCTGTAAAGATGGTTTCACTGCAGTGGGAAAGTGCTAAGCCGATATAGGGAAAGTGCTAAGCCGATATATCCAGGAAAAGTTCGCACCGCTGCGAAGCCCCACCGTAAGGTTAAATAAACATATTACCCGCACATCGACTAATTATCTTTTAAAGTTTCATTGCTTGTTATACTGGCTTATCTGCTTAAAGTATCATAAACTTTACAATGCAACATATTTTATAGGTTATCACTTGCATTCTACCGAATGTCAAATCTTGCTACTGTTCAAAGTTGAATTTCTACTTCTTTTGAACCACAGAAGAATGGCACTTGCACAGGCCTTGAATTCATTTTTAATATACATTGGGAAGGTTAGTTGGGTCATGACAAATATGCCAATTTCTCTAAATAATATGGGATATACTATACTATTAGAATTCGATTCAAAATTATTCAACCAAAATCCCTATTTGCATTGAATTCGCTTTGAACCTCAAGTTCACCATTCAAACAAGCCTATTAGTAGTCCTTCTTACAGACACGACATTTCTTAAAGATGTTCACCATGCTTCTTTATTTTTCTTCTTTGCAGCATCCATGTTTATAATTGCAACGATAACATCAGGATAAAGAAGAACAAGATGAAAGTGCAGCACTCGGCAGCAGTTCATTGCATCATGTATGTCTCTTTTTAACCTAACGTTTTGAAAAAGTAATAAAGGTGTGGTGCCTCACACTATACTGTTGCCTTACAGATACCTTGACAACCGTGTATTTGTATCGTTGTCAAGTGGAGAAATCGCAATCTACAGAAGGGAGTCTGGTAAGATGGCACCAAGTTTTTTTTGAAAAGAAGTGTATAAAGAAAGAGCAATGTGATGTCAAGGAATAGTGCAGTTAAAAGGACATGTGATAATAGTAGCTACTTTTTACATACAGCATGCCAGCTGACAATGCATGGATTCAAGGACAGTAATTTGGACTGCACTACTCAGTTATAACAGCTACTGCAAGTGCTCTTCATATCGTAGGCTAATGCTGGTTAACAAAGTCGTGCAGAATTTGCAATTCTTAATATAATCAAAAGTTAGTAATTGCGTTTTTGTAACTATGGCATAGTTGATTTAGTACCCTTTTGTCTCATTTAGTTCCTGTCAATATGAACAAGGGTGCCAATGGCTTGTTCTTAAAACAAAGGTAATGATGTAGAATTGAGTCGAGCAATGCAATCGAGCCAGATGCATGATCCAAAATGGTCTCAAATAAGACACACTTTATTTCGCATGACTGTCAGTTACTCACTGCCTCATGAGCCAAACACAAGCAAACCAATACATATCTGGCTTCTGGCACATGATTGCTTGACATTTTTGTTGGTTGAGGGGCTGTGCCTTTGAAAATAATCTCTTCACGTTTGAGTACGTACTAAGTGGGGTCTGCTATAGTGTGTCACATGCAACATGGCCTATGCCAGTTATTGCCGTCATTTTAAATGTCACTCAGCGCATCAAGTATAGCTTGGGTCTGAATCGTGTCATGTTAAACTTTTTTGGTGAGCAGTGGACATCACTATGCAGGGAGAACTCTGTTAGTTACTGCAACGGCACTTTTCAGGAGGTGGATGGAACACAAGCGATCCCCAGAAAGTTCAAGTGGGCAGCAGCGTCGCACCAGTGCTGCGTATGCTGGCCGTTGCTGGGAAGTTATGGTGTGGCTGCCAAAACTACATCAAGGTTCTCAGCACTGCTTCCTTAGAAGTAGAGGTAGGTATATCCTGTCTGTCACTCTTATGGGCAATACTTAAACATGGGTATGTGTGGTAATTAAATAATGAGATTTTTTTTTTTGCTGTTGGCAAGATGCAAATTGACTCTCAAATACATTGTGATCAGAACAATCTGAACCTATGAAAACTTAGGCACAGTGGAATATTATGTTGCCTTTAGAAAGCATTTTCCCACTTGAACCTCCTAAGCTCTCACACATGCCACCAATTCATACCTGTAAAAACCAGTGGAAACTTATTCACAGGCCTTTTGGTATGGGTAGTAAATCAACTTCGTTAACTCATGATTATCTTATGTTAGACAATTTAAGCAATGCATGTTAACGTTGAAATAGCAGTGATGCTACTGAGTCACATGGAGTGCTAATAAATGCTACAATATGTTTTTTTTTGATAAGTGGCATGTAGTACCTAAAATTATAGTGAATTGGTGCTTCTGACAGTTGGGATAAGCGCATGGTCTTCAGTCACGTTCATGCTGCATGTGTCTATTGTTTTAAACTTTATTGCAGCAGAAGTTCTGGAAGAATATTGTTTTTCGTTACAGCATTCTTTCCAAGTAAGCAGCGACTCATCGCGAGCTGTGCTGTGCATGGTGACGTCCGGCCTTGGTGTTTGGCTGGCCATTCAGCACAGCGCAGTCATCCGGCTATTTCATGCCACCACTTACGAGTGCCTGCAGGATGTAAACATTGCACCTGCTGTTACCAAAATGCTTTCAGGTACGCAACTGAAATTTCATGGGCCAAGCCCTTAAGACTGCACAAAGTGCACCATTCGGCGTCTACAGCAGATGTATCGCAGGTGCATGCGGAAGAAAGCTAAACTTCTGTGAACAACAAAAAAGTTATCAGAAGGCTAGCTATTAACAGAAGAAACAAAATGTATGGCTACAACACTGTAAAAACACCGATATTTAACCAGCCATCAACAAAAGCATATGACAGAACAAAATAAAAGGAACAAAATAAAAGGCTGTTAACCAGAACAAAATAGAAAGCCACAACTCCCGAAAAGGGGCAAAGTCGCAATGCCAACAACATGTGAATGAACCAAAACATCTGTGGACAACAAAAAGGTTATCAAAAGGCTGTTAAACTGAAAAAAAAAAAAACTATAAAAGGCCACAACACCATCAGAACACTGAAATTTAGCCTCCCAGCAATCAAAGCATATGACAGTACAAAAGTTTAACAAGAACAAAATAAAGGTCTGTTAACAGAACAAAATAGAAGGCCACAATTCATGATTCGATGCACACTGCCTCGACCCACCGTCGACATTCATTTCATGAAAATGCGTCGATTTTTTAAATATCTTTCTGCTAGCCAAATGGTGGGTGATAGTTAAGGCCATTTCTTAGAAATTAAATGCACCACTGCTGGCCAGATTATGTTTGTGTTGACAAAATATAACACAGTTAAACCCCTTTATAAAATACATGCTTCGGGCAGCAATTCGTGTCTTTTATATGAGATGTCTCTTATTAGCAGGGTACCACGTATGCGTTTTCTTATCAACTCGTATTTCAATGTAGGCACACTGGTGTCTATTACACCCCTTTGTCTCTTATATCAGTGTCTCTTATGAAGGGGCTCGACTGTAAAACCAACATACATTGAAGCCAGGAAAAGCATAGTGAACAATATTTGTAGTTTTCAACTGTGGTGTAGTAATTGCACGGCAGCTTTGTAGCATTAGTGATATGTATTAGTAATAAAGGGGTAGAAAATACAGGTGAAGTGGTGAACTAGTGGTCAAACAAGTGCAGCTTATAAACTTAGTGTTCATCATTCGATGTATAATTAAAAAATATATTGTAAACCTGCATGTATCATATCTGTAAAACATAAAGCACCACTTAACGAAGACATAGAAGCAAGGACATCTATGTGAAAAAAAGACAAACAGAAGAAAGTGCTAGAAACTTCCTAGAAGGTTATGCACTTCGCAAAACTTGTCTATTAGTGTCAATTCATTTTGTCAGTGCATTTGAAATCCCAAACAAAATGCTTTCTTTTCAAAGTAATAGATAAGCTTCTTCAAGCCCATTAGTGCCCTGATCAGTATGTGCTAACACAATGGCCCATTTAGACTAACTTTTGCCAGTTTAGTCTAGCAGTTAAGTTTATACTAAAGGTTTCAGTGAATGACCCTTACTTTAATATATCTGTACCTCAGTTGAGTCATGAAATTTTCCTTTATCAAATCATTTGAACTAGACTGGGTGGCATTCATGTGTGTGGCCTGAATTGTAGTTCCAGTAGCTACAGTGTCGGTTGTGGATAACAAATGCGGTGAAGTTATGATGTCCCTGTTAAAAGGGCACACTTTTGACCTATCTTGAATAACACTTGTTCTTCATTGATTGAGATCACTTGCGAGACGCTGCTAGCCTTACTGTGCTTCAGAGATAAGGTGTTGTGTTTATTACGACTGTACCTTGTGCGTGTCACTTGCCACTTGGCAACGAATGTGCCACGTTGTGTACTGAGGCAAGGCACACACATTAGACAAAACTGTGCTGCATAGAGAGTGCAGTACAATTTATCTACACTCAAACTAACTATAACAAAGATGCACCTTACAGTAAAATAAGTTCGTTATATTCCATAATTGGTTATAAAGGTATATTTCTAACAATATATCTATTGCCAGAATATTTGCAATTTACTTTGTTATAAATTATAATCAATATCTCATTATATTAGGGGTCCTTATGTTGAGGTTTGAGTGTGTGCACATTCATGTTCTTGATCAACACGACTCTTGCCAGCGTGTCAACTTATGGTCTTGTATATCCAGTGGCATGTCTTGCTGGCGCAGAAATATGTGCTACTCCACTTTCGTAGCTGTTCTTGGTTATGTGGTACCTGACTTGAGATTTGTATTTGCAAAAAACTACGTGCAATGAAGCAATTTGGCCACTGGAGCTCGAAGTAATTATTTTGAGCCTATTTAGGTCGACTGCAGGACGAAGATATCTTCCAGTGATTCCAGTTTAACCTATCCTGTGTGAGATGATCCCACTTTATCTCTGCTATCTTCATAACTCCGTCACTCTGTCTAGCTCGCTGCCTTCCTCAACTGTGTTTCTCATGTCTTGGTAACCATTTCTTTGCTCTAATTGATTAGATTTGTGGGGTTTAACGTCCCAAAACCACCATATGATTATGAGAGACGCCGTAGTGGAGGGCTCCGGAAATTTCGACCACCTGGGGTTCTTTAACGTGCACCCAAATCTGAGTACACGGGCCTACAACATTTCCGCCTCCATCGGAAATGCAGCCGCCGCAGCCGGGATTTGAACCCGCGACTTGCGGGTCAGCAGCTGAGTACCTTAGCCACTAGACCACCGCGGCGGGGCTCTTTGCTCTAATTGACTACCAGTTGTCTCTCTTATGCGTTATGTGGCCAAGACAGGTAATTCTTTCACTTCATGTAAACTACAATATACATAACTCCTGTCTGTTTCCGGGCCCATTCTGTTAGTCATCCTCCACACTGTAGTAGTTTCAAGTTATTACTACACTTTTTCAGTGCTACATAAGTGAAATGATGCTAGTATACTGAAAGTGCAGGTATATTCATGCTTCCAAGATATCAGTGCACTGAAAATTTTATATACACAGAAACAAAAAAAAAAAAATGGACCCAGAGTGCTCTTTACAGTCTGTTTTTTTTTTCTTATGTGTGCTGCTATTCTCACTAATCTGAGAATAGTTTTCACTCAGCTGATATGACTTTTTTCTTCCTTGTGCCAGCTCAGATCGTAATAGTGGGGTTAGAAATATACATGACATTCAATGAATATTGGTTTATATTAACATGAAGTGGTCCTGCTGAAGATAGGCCTTTGTCAAGTTCCTCAATTTGGAGTCCAGATAAGTTATATCCTTCATCATGTGGAAGATTCAATTTGTATATTTAAGTGTATAACGACAGGCATTATGTCAATCTATCATTATGCAGTGTCGTTGTTTGCTGAGTACTTGTAGCTGAAGACTTGGACACTTGCCTATTTCTATGATAGCAGCGAGGTCATTGTTCATGACTCTGCTATGAGTCTTTGGCTGTGGGTCGGTATGCTGCTTGCGCATTTCTGAATTTGGTCAAGGAAACAATTAGAAATGATCATTGGCTTTGATGTAATGGGAACAATAGGGCCACACAATGTTATTTCTTTGTTTTAATGTATTTGGGTTTCGCCCAAGTAGTAAAACACCAATTGGCACACACCGCGTTGCAATGTTTGGGGAGCTTTGCGATTGTGTCAGATTGTTCTGTCAAGATTACATGCTAGACATGAGTAGTCATGTTTGTATCGGGAGCTTACACGAGCACCAGTAGTAATGCTAGTGGAAGGTTAGATCATGCATGAAAGGCAACGCGTTCTTTCGATGATCAGATTACCGGTGATCGACGTTTGCACTCGCAGTTGTTGCTCTCGTCTGGGCACAAGTTCGCCGAATGAGCCGTTTAATCTTTATCGGCTTTATTGTATTTCCTTCTTTTCTTCGATGTCACAACCACGTGACAATAGTATACACTGTGAGCCTGTGAAGATGCCTCAGTTTCTGTCCTTCTTGGTTGCAGCATGTGATGACATAATCCGACAGCACAAAGCGGCATGCCTCCGGGTCACTGCCCTGCTGGCCTGCAAGGACCTGCTCTGGGTTGGCACCAGTGCAGGGGTCCTGCTCACCCTCCCTCTCCCCCACCTCACCTCGAGCACCAGTCGTTTGGGTAGCCTGCCCAACATTGTCGGTAAGGTCATGCAACTTTGTGGCTTGCAAGTGCAGTACCATGGGCTTGATACTCGTTCACAAGTGATGAACAGTAGCTCAGCTTGCTTATACCTGCCGCGATCACGCAGTCAAAATTTTTGCAACACGTTGCGGCGGTCTAGTGTTTATGGCGTTTGAGTGCTGACTCACTGGTCAAGGGATCGAATGCTGGCCGCAGGAGCCATAATTTGATGAAGTTGGCCTGTGTGCTTAGATTTAGGTGCACATCAAAGAACACCAGGGGGTTGAAATTTTTCTGGAGCCCTCCACTACAGCATATCCGATAATCATATCGTGGTTTTGGAGCACAAAACCTTTACTATTATTATTAGTATATAATGTTACCACTAAGAATTTACACTGATTTCAATTTATTTTTACCTAGGAAAGTGTGCCAGAGTTCTGAAATTTGCTGGCTTCGACTGTTATTTACTTATGGCACTAGAGTCACCTTTACTTAAAGAGTTCAGCCTTGTTTAATTGGTTTTAAGTTTAGAGAACCAAGCAGATTGTCAACATGGGGATTTTTGAATGTGAATTGTACAGCTGTATATGGTTGTCGTCGGCCTTTTGTACGGTGCCGCATCACATGTATCATTAACTCAGTTGAAGGCTGAGAAGCATTTTTTATGGTCCGCGCATGCGGCTTAACCTCGGAGGCATTTTTTCTAGTTGTACTAGACGCATTCTGTGTACCACTTTCATTGCATCAAGCGCATCGATGGGGTCCCAAGAACACATGCACGCACATGTTTATGTCTGTAACAACATACATGCATGTTTCAATGAAAAAGCAGTGTGGATGTCATCGAAACTAGCACAAATGATGTCATTTTGTGGCTAGATTTCATGTTGCTGACCAAGTTTCCTGAATTGTCTTTTTTCCTGCTGGCAGAACATGCCTGACTTAATGTACAGGGGTGAAGGAGCTGGGAAAAAGTCCCCATGCCACGCTGCCATAGGGATACATGAGATAGTGGCCTGAAAACTTTTGACTATCCCTGTATGTCTTTGGCATGTGGATGGGGCTTAACTCTTTAGGCCAATAGTAGCTCTGGGAAGATGCCTTTGGCAATGAACAACCGAGTGCACTGAGCAGACCTTGTAACTAGCACGTCATTCCATCATCGCACTGACAACTGAGTTGTTGAGGTCTAGCAGTGTTTTTTAGATTGCACTGCCAACCATTTTCCCAACTGGTATGGGTGCGACCTGCTACTGAGACATTTAACAATGCTATAGCTTGAAAATATGCCTTCAACACTGAAATTCATGAGCTTCAGCCCACCCAAGTAGTGCATGTACAGCTTAAAGGAGCAGTGAAGTGCAGCAACGAATCAGTTCAGATTGATGAAGTGTACTCTGAGAATTGTAATCTTGTTAATTTCACCATTATATGTTTAATAATACAGAAAAAACGAAGGTCATTATTTTATTTTTACATTTTGTACCAAACATCCGTGTAATTTTTTGGATTTGGACGTCTGCTTTTTGTATCTTGGAAACATTGGCCGCATGAAATTTTCTGGAACTTGATATGTTAGGTCTATGGCTTTTGTGGGAGACAATGTGCTTTATTTTCACTGATATTTAACAATATAGGACTAGTTAAACACCGTCAAAAGTTATGACATCACAGTGTTTGGTATGGAAATTTCAGGGTGGCATCGCCACCAGTGGCGTACCAACTCTTTCGCGAGTTGGGGCGGCAAACCTACCTCACTCGTCAGCAGGTATATATATATATATATATATATATATATATATATATATATATATATATTTTTATAATATCTAGAGAGAGAAAGAACTTCATTGAGGCGCTCACACTTTTGCATTCACAGAGGTGGCACGATGCGCTTTCATAGATACCACGAAGTTCAATCACACAAAAACAGGTCGAGGAATGGCGCACTTGGCCCGATTTTGCGTCCAATACGTGACGCTCATCGAGCTATCACGCCTCTTTCTCTGATTATGGTTTGGCGGTTAAAATTTACAGATGCCACAATGTTTTTTTTTAATTAATTCATCATGAATGTTAGTCATCGGGATGGAAGTGTACCAAGCATCAACGAGGATACATCCACGTTGAGGCGGGCTATAACTGCCGAACACCAAAACATGTATTCGGCGAATCCTCCTTTATCAATGTACAGTAAACATTTAATTAACCCTGTAAAGGTATGTATTACTTTTGTGCTATATGCCGATTCTCAGTACGGAGAGATCAACCATATTTTTTTGATGAATGACTGCTGTTATAGTTTTTCATAGTTAGTATTACACTTTCTTGCATATATTTGGCCTTGTGTGTATTATAATTTGCCTTGTTTGCTAATAGTCTGAACACTGTTTCTGGAGGGTGCAGTTATTAATAATATCGATATTGTTATGTTACTCTTAGTAACTTACCAACTTCTCAATGCCTTTTCTTTAAAAACGTATAATTTGTAGTGTTAGGGGCGTACTACATTGTTTACACTCATTGTGTTTGTATTAACATTTCTTAAGGGGCCCCCAGGCACCCGCATAAATACGTCAATACAAACGGTATGAACAAAATTTTTCTTTGAAAGAACAAAATGTGGGTCAGTAGAACGTTAAACTATCTCTCATTGCTTCCTTTGGAAATGGACGTTAGCTGTATATGATTGGTATAAACAGTCTTTGTCATGCATACAGCACCAGCTTGTTTCGCGAGGCAACGAATGACGCGAAAATGATCCATCACGTAACGACCACTTATGCACGACCTCGTAAAAAATGGCAGAATAAACTATTTTCGATACGTCATATTGTTTGCCATTGTTTCTTCGACGTTTAAAATTTTCTGTGTACCACAAAACGCCAGCTTGTTACATGACGTCAAGAAGCCGGAAAGCATCTCCTTCTACATGTAGTTCAAGTAGACTACCAGCCAATTACATAAGCAGCGGCTACTTATAGTGGCTGGGGAGATAGATTATGAGCACAATAAAATATTTCCACTTGCAGCATAACCGTGCTTAGTAGTTCGTGTGCGTATACATCTCTGCACGCGAGCTCATACTTGCTGAGAGAAAGAGAAATAGAGAGAAGTAAGCAGCACAGTGGGTGTGTGCTTCTTTGCTGTACGAGGTGTATTTCGAGCTGTAATAGACAATTCAATTTGAGTAAAAACCAACTAGCTCGATTCCTAACTAAGCCTCCATAGTGCTAAAGACCGCGGTTTTCCACCTTCTCTCTGGTCCGGTGAGTTATGTTGTGGGGCAAGCTTAAAAGCGGAGCTTCCTACTGAGCTCGAGTCCACTGCTTTAATTGTGGCCACTTTGCAAGCTGCCGCTATGGCTTCAAGTTACCATAAGCAAGGCGGATCAGGTTTATCAGAGACTACAGCAGAAACAATTTTTGGCGTTTCAGTATGGAAGAACTTGAACATAAAAATGATTCGTCACACTCACCGGCTCGCAACAGTTTCGACAGAGCAGTGGTGATGATACATTCTTTTTGAAGAAATTCATTTTCTGGAAGCAGGAAATGCTTTAACCGGTCTTTAAAAAATTTGCTCGTTCCCATCTGTAACTTCAACAAGTCACACCAGAATAAAACCATGAACAAATGATGTACTAGTATAGGGCCCCTGTTCAGCCCTTGCCTGCTCTGCAATACTGCAGCACAAGACGCGAAAGGGTTGCATAGGCGACCCGCACCGCAAAGAACCCACAAGGAAAATCATCACAGAGGAAAGGTTGGCAAAATTTTATGATGTAACATTTCCTCGTAAGATTTTGATTCTCCTGTGAGAACATAATTGAGTGATTATTGTTGTGACGGGAAATTTCACCTTCGTTGCCGGCTTCTTCAGCGTGCAGCCTAGAGTGACCACTGTCGAAAGTGGGGGGGGGGGGCTCAGCCCCCCCAACTTTTCTCATTGAGAGGGAATGGGGGCTCGCGCCCCCCTTGCCCTCCCCCGGCTAATACGCCTATGATCGACACTTGCATCTTATTTTTGCGGTTTTGTGTCTTACCAAACATCTCCTTTGGGAATTGAGGTGATTTTAATACTCTGAAAGAGTAGCCTACTAGTATAAGAAAAATAATTTTTCTCTGTAGTATCCCTTTAAGCCAATGCTGATCTTGTCTTGCAAAGATTAGTCTGTATCCGACTTAACAAGCTAGTGTGGGTGGATTTAAACTAAGAGCTACTACGTGATTGGTATGAAGAAAACTGCTTTCATAGTTAAGTTATGGCCTTAGCAACTTCCTATTGCCATTTTTTTTCTTCTTACGGTGAACATGGGAATGCCTTCACAGTGAAATGGCGTCACTATGTCACTGTTCCCATGCCCAGGCGTGCCTCATGGCCACACGGGTCACGTGCGGTTCCTGACAGCTGTGGAGACGACGGAGCCTGCGGGTAGCCGGCACCACCACCACCGGTCGTTGCGGTGCTCGCGTGACAGTGGCGCCACGTCAGCGTCAGGGGCTGCCTCGATGGCTGGCCGAAGGGCATCGCTCACGCCCGCCGCAGGCTGCCGCCTGCTGGTCATCAGCGGTGGCGATGGCTACGAGGACTTCCGCAGCGCTGGACTAAGTGAGGCCGCCGGCCGAGACGACAGCACCAACCACCTCTTGCTGTGGCAAGTGTGATGATGACGAGGTCTCGCGGATCGCGCCTATGGGAACTCAACATGGCACAGGGCTGCGGGAAATGGTCACTAGGAGCGCCACAGCTGACTCATGTATTTATATGGAGGGTGTGTGGTTTTAAGTAGCAAATTTTAGATTCTCTAGCCTTATAGAGATTATCATTGGTTGTTTGAAATAGGAGCTCACTACGTAGACGTGTACAAGAAAGACGTGCACAAGCGCCTCATGTATTACCAACTCGCCCAATCGACCATATTGACAAATTATCATTGGAATTGATAAACTAAAATCTGAATAATCACTCCTATGTGCCTCAGTACCTGTCATTGAGGGACAAAATGTGGTGTTACAATATCAAAATAAAATTGTTTTCGGTGTTTCTTGACTAAAAGTACAACTGGGATGAAAGGATTGAAAACACAGTATATTACAGCCCGTGCTTTCCAATCTAGACACCGCTGGTCCATTTTTCGATCTTGTTGCTTGATTTTTGCCTTTCTATTCAAGTTATATCCTTATCTTATGGCTCATAACTAAGGTTATGGTTGAGCCATAACCTTAGTTATGGCTCAATCTCATGATGAAAATGTGATTTTTAGGAATTGGAATTTCTTGTTACTCATCATTGCCAATGGATAGTTGGACAAGAAAGTGGGATACTAGTTGTGCACTTTGGTTGAATGCAGACAAAGCTTATGTTATCTTTCTCTGCAGCCTATAGATATTATTGGTTTGAAGTTTTTTCACAGCTATAGACTGCACTAAAAGTTTTCAGGCCAAAGAAGGAGTGCAAGCTATTCATGAGATTACATTGTAGCCCTATCTTCACTGTGATTCGGGGTGGTGTGAAGGCAAATCTGGAGATGAAATGGTCATTGTTAAACAGTGAGTAAAAGTAAATTTAGTGTATATGCACGCATAGCATGTCATTCTTGTGCAAATATTGAGCAGAGAGCAGCTGTGAACGCAGTGTTGAATGTCATGTACAAAACAAAATCTCCGCAGCTTTGCTCTGGGATGACAGTGGTGTTTGGAGGTTTCTTTAAGATATGAATATTTTTGTATTTGGTTATCTATGCAGCCTTTCTCTCCTCTCTTGACAGTGAAATTGGGTATGTAGTTTCATGCCATAGCAGGCTATACAAGATAGCCTGAAACCATATTCGAGCTGGTCGAAGCTGTAACTCAGTTGTACTTCTAGATCTGGATCACTCTGTATAAGTGTGACTTTAACACATGCTATATTACAGCTACCTGCTTGAGTGTTAAGGCAGCGCAGAGAGCTGCAAGAAAAGGGCAGAAAGAAAGGAAGCACATGTAAATATTTGTTCCAATGTTTATGAGTGCATAGTCCTCATAACATCATTATAAGTTGCTACTCACATGAACATCAGCACCACGTTAATGTTGATACTGTCCAATACTGAGTGCATATTTTTTGCTGCGGCATCAGGCATAGTGAATTGGCTGTGGTGCTTCGAGAGCCTCATCCCGTGACCCTGACATGGCCTAGTACATGCTGCCACCACAAAGAGCAGGGAGCATTAGGCCTTGTGAAGAGACCGGGAGCGCGCGCGGTACCTCCTCCACTGCAGTGGTATACTGGCGCTGGTGAAGCTCGGTGACAGTGCGACTGTGCCCTGTGATGGCGAAGTCTCTTACGGCTAAAACTCTGTGGTGGCTGCCCCAGAGACCTCTTCGAAAACCTCCCACACCTGACTCTGTCCCTTTCCTGATGACTTAATGTTGATCCCTCTTTTTTTGTGTGTGTGTGTCTTCTCTGGGCTCCAATTCAGCTCGGAGAGACGTGCTGTGTGGCTGGTGCTGTGCACCTTGAGACTCAGCATACTGCCGCAAGTGCCAAAGACATTGAAATGTGGTTGTGTGTGACCGAGGCTGTGTGTGATGGCTGGCACGGTGTGTTCGACCGTGCAGGCCAAGTGCAACGTGCATGTCTCGTTTTAGAGCGATATCGGTCTTTCGCTGAAAAGCGGTAGTCGAGGCAGCGTTCTCAGAAATTGACGCGTACCTCTGTTAGGGGTGCCGTCACTGATATTTTAGAAAGAAAAAAAACTGGCTATTCTTGGGCATCTGCGATTAGGTGGAGGTGCCCGCTACCTTTTTTTGCACGCACCAGCTGCTTTTAGATTGTGCTCGTTTTGTTCCGACTGTCCTGCTCCATCTCAATTTTCATGGACATCATGTCTGTGCATGGTGAACAAGTTGTATCGTGTTTCCTCTGTAATTCTAAATGGGATGGAGTTTGCTCTGTGAAGTTATCTTTCAGCTATGGCTGACTTAGACTATAGCATCCTTCATTAGACCGCTGGGAAGACCACGTTTCTGGCCACCTTCAATTTCCGCAGATGTCCCCTGAAGAACGGACAACGATACTGTGTAGCATAGCCCTCACTTTTTTCTATGTGTAGCATTGTTGGGATTAATTATACAATGGCGCTTCATCCAGTTCTTTACATGTCAGCACAGTGCACTTTGTGTGGCTTTGTTTCGTGTCTTAGGCCCGGTGATGCTTGTAATAACGTAGGCAAGAAAGCCGTGCAGTACTTTCAGTGTGAGCTTACGTAATTTGGCTGCTGCGAGAATATTTCTTCTTCAGTGAAACTTTGATATCTCTCAAGGCAGCTGGGGTACTCGCAAACAACAAGGCTGTAGCACACATGTGCCTGAATGTTCCATTAGTAGGGGCAATGACGGAGATTACGAAATTGTAATATTAAGTCATGTTAAGAGTCATATATACATATGTACACATATAAATTAGATGAAACCTTAGGCCTTCTGTCTTAATAAGTGTGTAAGCTTGTGTCTAATCTTTTACTCACGGCTGTCTTCCGACTTGCCCGAGGCTTAGCTAGGGCATGTAAACAGTTGTGCTCGGATCCATAACTATAGGGGCTTGAAGCTCTTTAGCCTTTTGCTAGATGACAGCTGATGGCTGAAATGCATTTACATTGTTGAGCCTGGTGGTTTGAAACATTTGTATACACATAAATCATTTGTCACAAACTGGGGCATTTTTACAATGTACTGATAAAGTAAAAAATAAGTGGGTGGGCTGCTTAAAGTTCTGACCTATGGGTGGTGCCTTCGTCTCAGTTCTGTTTGAACACTCATGCTAATAACTAGTGGCTGATGTCTCTAGCGAGGGGTTCTTAAACTTGCGTTGTTTGCTCTTTGGTTGTAAAAAGAATTGTTTGATAACATTTCTGTAACATCAAGAATAGTTTTTGTGACAAAATGTAAGGCACCAACCACGTCATATGGTGCCCAAGGAATGCACCCCTGAAAATTGTATTGCGTGACACCTGTACTTTCAGAAAAAAAAATGAAGGCTCGGTGAAAATAACTGACCTAAGGAACTACCTATGTTATTCAGACCAGGCTTGTGGTGATGGTTGGCATGATAGATTCACACAGTTTTAATGACATCATCGCAGTGAAAACATTAGCAGACTAGGGATCACGAGGTTTTCTCGAGGCAATCGGTTGAAATATTTCTTCCATTACTGAAAAGGCTTCTGCCACTTAGCCCTGTTCAAAAATATTAGCCCAGTCTCAACAGTTAGCAGCTGGGGTCTCATTGGCTTCCAGAGTTATTGAGTTATTGTGAAAAAATACTAATCTCTACTTAAACTTACAGATAGCACTAGAAAATATCCTGTCATTGTGTGTGTCACGGATGTGGTGTGCAAAAACACGTCCTCTGCAATCAGTTGTTTTCAGATAAGCGATCCCGATCAGCCTTAGGTGGGTGGGAGGGGGGAGGGTGAGGGTAGCCAGTTGATTCAACGACAACGAAAGCACAAATGCAGGGTGGCCTACACTGTCCCACAAAGCACTTTCCAGGCAGCACTTGCAAAGTTGATCATTTCATCACGACACTACAGTGACAAAAATGTCATCTCACTCATTACGCACGCATTTATATAACATACTATGTTCGGTTGCACACCTTCCCAGCCACATATGTGAGAGATGTTTGTTTACTATCGGTCTGCTGGCAGGCAGGTGCTGGCCTGCGTGTATACAGTTTTATTCTTTATCCTTGTTGCTGTTTGTTCTGTGAGGACTTGTTGTCATATGATTGCTGGTTGCTTGAACTACCTTGTAAAAATATGTGTAACTATGGAACATGTACTCTTGTTTTGCACTGACAGTGAGACACCATTGCGGCACCACTGCATGTCGTGCTATAAAAGCGCCGTATTTTTCCGTTTGTATCTTCACTGCTTTACTCATCTCTGTGTAAACATTGCACTAAACAGAAGTGAATGAAAACAAGTGACAAAACCAGTATTCACGTGCACTGTGCTTCATATGCTGATGTTTTGCTATTACACGTGCGGTATACAAGTCTCAGCGCTTGCTTCGTAACCAGTTGGAATGCTTTAGCATCTCTTGCAGTATACAGTTGGTATGTCATGCAACATCTTAGCTTAGAAAAATGTTTTCTTGAGCTAGTTGGTTCATGACTTCTGAAGAGAAAATATGTAGCGCGTAGCAGCACAAGGACCAACAACGAACATGGGACTGGTGTCAGTCCTGTATTCTTTGTCGGCCCTTGCGTTGCTTCGCGTTGCAGATTTTTTTTTTAGAACGTCTCAGCCTCTGTTTAACCTCATGAGAGCCTGTAGCTGAGTGGGAAACTGATTCTTTGAGGTTCTTTAATCGTTCCCTATTTCATTCTATCACAAAGGCGTATGCTAATATACAGAAAAAAGTACAAATTGTGTGCCTTCCACAAGTACTGCCAGCATATCAGGTAAACAAATAGAAGACAAGAAACTGCTTGAACTCTTGAATTCGGCCAATTGTTTTTCTAGCACAACAGGAATCGATTGGCTCTATTCACTCCTGTGGAGCTATTGATCAGCCCCACCAAAATATAAAAACTTGTGACACATGTGATATCGACTTCATCGAAGAACACAAGCACTTGCCACGTCAATATGCTGACTCATGCACAAACGTGCAAAAACAATTGACATAAAAAACGTACGCACCATTTTATTGAATGCTTTTTTATTCACATATTCTATTTTGCAGCAGAACATTGAAATACTACAAAGTAATTTGTGGAGTTTTATGGTAGGTCTTTGAGTTTGGAAGAATAAGTTTAATTTTCACTTGACTTACCCAACCGAAAGGTTCTTTCATCTGTGGACTAAAACATCATTTATGCAATTTTTTAAATCAATTTTTTATTGTTTCGGGGCGTGTCGCTTTCAGTTGAAACCAAACCATAAAAACCAGGTGGAACGGCCTGAAAGCGCCAATAGGTGCATATATACAGTCGTGGCTTTCCTGACAACAAGTTAAACGGGCATCTAAAATTCCCCGCTTGGTTCCACATGCCAGTTCTAGTATCTACCATTTGGTTTTTTCATACCTAATACAAATTGAATGCACACTGACGTCAGATAACAAATAGCTGGAAGAACAAAACTGTCTCTTGTGTTCCGGTGAAAAAATATGATTGGACATGAGACAGAAATAGGATGAATGGAACAAGTAAATGCATTCACTTTGTAAATGAAAAAGAAGATGAAGAAGGAAAGCTGATTGATGCAAGTTTTCGACGAGTTGGTAATTCATCATCAAGAAAACTTTGACAGCACAGTGAAAAAACATGAACGCTTGTCTATGTCAGCTCTCTTTTCATCCATTCATATTTCTTTCACGTGCTGTTGAAATTTCCTTGATGAAAAGAAAGGCTATAAAATGGGCTTTAACTTTGGAAGCCTTGTCATTTATTATTGGAAATGATGGTCTGTTCACTGCTTTCTGCACTAGGCTTTTGGTTTAACATTATGAATTGTAGAATGCTGTGGTTTAGTCTTGCATAGATTATCTCACAGCTTCTACCTTTGCCATACCAAATAACCATGGATATCCTGTAGGAATACCACGGGACGTACATTTCTAATATTCCGGACATCTGTCAGATGCCCACGGATGTACAATGTATGTACGATGGACGTACATCAGATGTCCAAAGGTAACAAATTTGTGCGTTCGCTCGAAATTCCTCTAGGACTGCCAACATGGACATTAACATTATATATATATATATATATATATATATATATATATATATATATATATATATATATTGTGGTGAAGCCTTCGAACAGTGGGTCGTCCTCTCCAGCGCCTTCTAGTGGGTTGCCCTTTTTAGCAAGAGGAAGAGCAGCTCGTGCAGAGAGTCATTACCCGCATTGACTGTCGCTGTCAAGCATCGTCGACAAGTGTCCGCCAATAAACGTCTCAACAATTTGGTGGAGAGTGCTGTGCCCTTCTAACACCTTCGGTTAGCATTTGATGCCCCTGGAGCTTCGATCCCGCACCGTGCCTTCTACCATGCACCAAGACGCCGCACAGCAAACGCTTCCTCCTGCGCCGACGCCATGTTCCGGTGTTCCCCACATCCGCGACCCTCCTGTCTTCACCGGCGCGGATGGCACCGACGTCGAGGACTAAATTTAGTATCACGTGACGGGGATAGATGAGGAAGGTAAACTACCCATCCAAACATTATAATCATGACACGGAAGTCATGTACGGCATCATTTTCCTCCACCTCGTAACGTTGTGCTGATATTACAGTGACATATCAACCTGTCTTATTCGTGCTTCGCATATCATCGATTCCCACTGTACATGGGATCGGCCATTTTTTTATATTTACTATTAATATTATTATTATTATTATTATATTATTTAAATATTGGATGTTGTTGTCCGTAAACTTTCATTTAGTTTGCAGATTGTGTCGTAAAACAGCACAAGGTATTACAATTTCACCGAGGAAAAGAATGCAACTGGCTTCGTCTTATAGTAACGTCGCGATGAGCTGGCGCAGAACAAGAGCGAAACTTCCAAGATTGTTCTAAAAACGTTTTTCGCTAGGGTTCGTTATTACCCGAAGTACTCCCCTTGCAGCAGATCAATTTTTGTTTTATTGTGATAGAGATTATATCGGTAATCTCGGCGGGTTTTCGCCGTCGCCGTCATGTCCCTTTTAAAGCCTGAATTGATAAGATCCCCCAGCGCATCTACGTCTACCTGCGGGTGATAGCATGGGATCGGAGTGCCGAACGCGGCTGAAGCCGAGGTCAAACGAGCCGGCCCATGTCCGTCGCTTCGAGGCACATGCGATAAGATCCTCTTCTTGATAAACCGGCCGTCGGGCCGTTGAATTCTCCAGCACAGAGGAAACGCCCCGCCCGTCTTTATTTAACAAGCGTGAGAAGATACGAGGGGCGGGGGGGAGGGTATTAGAACACGAGCAGCTCGCCAGTCATAAGCGGATGGCAAGTATACTAGGTACTGCGCTCTGACCGCGATGAGTGTGCGAAGAGTCTCCAAGTGAATAATATTTTGAATGATTTGAGTCCGTGTGAGTGTGGTTCAGCTTAAATTGAGGACGACGCAGCGAGCAATGGGAAGAAAAATGGTAGGTGTAACCTTAAGAGACAAGAAGAGAGCAGAGTGGATTAGGGGACAAACGGGGGTTAAGGATATCATAGTTGAAATAAAGAAGAGGAAATGGACATGGGCCGGGTATGTAGCGCGTAGACAGGATAACCGCTGGTCATTAAGGGTAACTAACTGGATTCCCAGAGAAGGGAAGTGGGTTAGGGGGAGACAGAAGGTTAGGAGGGCAGACGAGATTAAGAAGTTTGCGGGTATAAATTGGCAGCAGCAAGCACAGGACCGGGTTAACTGGCGGAACATGGGAGAGGCCTTTGTCCTGCAGTGGACGTAGTAAGGCTGATGATGATGATGATGAGTGTGGTTGAGGAAAATTTCAGTGTGTTAGTCCGAGTGAGTCCGGTGTCCGAAAATATTTGGGAGGCTGTGTCGGAGTGAGCCATAAGCGCGAAATATATTTTTTGAGCGAGTCTGAGCGAGGTCCACTTTTTATCGCCGACCCATGTTACCGAGCCTCGACTTGCGGTTTGCTCTTCATCTGCTTAGCATACACAACACTGTAAATTCCCCGAAGGAAGTCATTTCCCAATTTGGTGTCCAGAATAGAACGAATAGTTGATAAAATGAAAAAAAAGGAAAGGTGATCTAACTATTGACTGAACGGCTATCCATGTTTCACCGCAAGGGTGAAGCAATGAATGCGATAGCAACAAATGGTAATGTTATGCTAAACGAGTCTGGTAGCTCACTCATTTGGATCCAATCTAGCGCAACTCTACAAAACGCTGGTGTCAGATATTACGGCTACTCCAGAAGAACGCGCTGTCGAGCCTTTGGACACTCGGAATAGAATAACTTCTACGCAATGAACGTCTATCATACTTCGCTAAATAAAGTCACGCATAGCAAGCAATCTCATGAACGCCACTTCTAGAGTTTGAAATTTCGTGCCACTGCTCTTTTAACCTCCTATGTTCTGGTAATTAACATATTACCGCGAAAGCTAAACTACAGTCGTTGAAGAAGGCTGCAGTGAGAAAAAAGAAGGCGTAAATAGTAAGGTAGACCTCCTTACTGCCCCGACAGGTTCCTTATTGGTTGCTGGTCTTCTGTGGCACTAACGTAGGGATGAAAAAAAGGAAAAATGTGGCTCTACATATACTGTTAATTCAAAATGAAAATTAGGGGACCTTGAAGCTTCGCCTTTAAGAGTTGAACGTGATAGCGATGTCCTGTTCCTATAGTGCCTACTTCAAAAACCTAGTGCATGAAACCTTTTCGAATTTGCTACGCACCCACTACATGGCCTTAGGGGAATGGGTGCAGTGGCGGGTGTGCATTTTGTAGTTGGTGACCGGCTTCAAACCACGATGCCATTATGATAATCACATGTACTGATGCCCGCTGGCGAGTGGACGTATACTACGTCCATTAATGCTGCAATATTTGTTGTTGTTTTGTGAAGCATGCTACAGGACGCGTGTGTTTGTAATGCATGAAAGTTAGTTTCACTGCATTTTCAAGCAAATGGAGTTATTTTCACTGTGTTCACAAGCAGGCGCGTCGCCGTGTGGTAGAACATTTACTTTCACGCAAACGACTCTATAGTTTGGTTCCTACTGAGACCCAAACGACCAGAGTTCGATCCCCTCTCTGCTCCAAGATTTCTGTATCATATTTACATCTTTAACAAGGTGCTTGATTGAGCTGGTTAGTGCTGCGCATGGTAGACGAAGGAAGTGCTTTAACAGCGTAAATGACAGGAGGGGATAGAAGAGATGAGAACAAAATCGCCAACATCTCCTTATATATCATATCAATAATAAAAAAAAAACGAGAACAAAGCGCTGAACAACAGCTTTCTTCGTCTACCACATTTACATCGTTCTCAATTTTTCGATCATGCATAGGCTGAGGATTTTTCGCTCACAACCAACGACACCGACGCCGGAATTTCCGTGAAACGAGCTCTTTGACGATATCGCGTCAATATATAAGCATCATTAATACCTTCATTAAGCAAACCTTTCTGTGTCTGCTTTTCAGATTTTGGCGCGAAAAGAAAACCTGCGGGCTGCAGGCGCCATATTGCGGACGCTCGTTTTCGTCCTACGTGGCCTCTTTTTACAGCCGTGATGTTTGCGCTCTTTACTGAAAATTGTCCTTCCCTGGTCTTTTACGATGACGCCCAATCACACATGTAAGAGGTTTGCTTGTTTGTTTCTCTAAAGCAGCGTCGTTCCCCGGAGCCGCAGTGGGACGTGCATATGCGGCGTTATAATATGAGAGTCACGCTCAGTCCTACAAAGCCAAAACTTCGGTGAGACTGAGATGAAAGGCGGCCTCGTGATTAACGTCCTTTAACAACCTTCCCGCGCCGAGAAGACTTCCGGCGTACGTTTGCTTTCTGTATAGGGCCACCTGTTGGGGAAGATAACGCACGCGAGTGTTGTACCAGGATTCACCTGAGTCATAGCTGTGTGGGCGCACGACGTTCGTCTAGATGTGACAGTGATTTATGCAACGTGCCGTCTTCTGCCGTCCCCCCCTCTTCCCCAAACCTCTACTTTCCTCAGTTTTCATTTGCGAATGCGAAGTGTGCTTTGGAAATGTGCGTGGAGCACTTGGGGCTCAGCGAATGCGCGCGCAGGTCGCCGAAACTTCGCTTAGGATGGGACCCATGGCTCGCAGTCAGGTGGTGAAGGTGATCGGCTATGCGACATTGACTCGTAGGTATGTTTTCATTGACAACTGTCGTCTTCACTATAACTGATTGAGGAAATTGTCTGGCTTTTTTAGCTTACCGGTGAAGTAGGCTTTGAGGTCGCACGCTGAGGAATCGACGAGCAGCGTTTACGCTTTGCTAGTTTTCTGAACAAAATTTGTTGCATGCTTAACCTGGCAGTTTAGAGCTCGAGTCGGGTTTATCAGTTACTGATAGTTATACTGATATTTATACTGGTACTATATTTATACTGATATTTATACTGATATTTATACTGGTATAACTGATACTTATACCATGCATATCTAACTAGCCCAACTTTCGATTCTGTTGCTATTCGAGTCGGGTTGTTTGATACTATGCCAATATCAAACGGGGACGTTCGATCGCTATCAGGGCTGGTACGGATCGGATCTTGTGATCGTGATCAACAGTGCTCACTGCTACATGGTCGATCCAAATCCGGACCGAGTTCGGCACAGACCTGAGCCAAATCGCGACGTCGGAGGCAAATTGTGTGCGTTACGCAGATCGCGATCGTCCAGGTCCCGATCAGTCCTGATCACGATAAAAAGTACCTGTGCAATACCGTTATTGCTTCTATAGATTAGGGAATCACGTACTGAGATCAAAGTTTGAACTTTACTCAAATACGATGCAGATTACCAAATGAACGAGGTTGATGCGTAACTGTGAATTTTACCTTTTTTGGCGTTCGTTCCGTGCAACCATGTAGTTTTGAAGTGAACCGTCTTTCGTGGCGGTCTTCTTTCCTTCTTGTGATATCAAAATCTCCTTGAATTTTATAGTTTTTACTGACCTAATAGTTTAGACGGTGTACAAAGACGGCCGTGGACCTTTTACACGGACTTTGGAAGTTCTGAAGCGGCGAGAAGGCTCCGTGGACCATCATAAAATGTGCTGGATTCGAAATATTAAGATGATTGAGGTAAGAAAAGTTTTGGAATGTTGAACATACTGATGGAGATGCAGCCCTGAGCGTCCAAAGGTGAGTCGGCTTAACGATGGATCACTGGTTACGGTTCTTGGCTGCTCATCCGAAGGTTGCCGGTTCGATCGCAGCCGCATTTAGACGGAGGCGGAACCCTAGAGGCCCATGCACTGTGCCATGCAAGTGCACGTTGAAAAACACCACGTGGTCGAAATTTCCGGATGCTTCCATTACGGCGTGCCTCATAATGCTAAGCGGGTTTTGGCACGTCCATAGCTGGGCTTTAATTTTTTTTTTACATCTAACTTTTATTTTCCTTCTTCTTGTGCCTCTTTTGCAATGTATGGCGTGCACTTCCGAATAGAAACCAGTCATGAGTTTGGGAGGACTAATGGTAAAGCCACGTAGTTATAGCAAATCTCCTGAGTAGACTTTCTATCATCAAATCGACCAAAAATCATGTGTTTGGCGCTCTTTGCCCTGAGTTGCCCTTGCGACAAAAAATCTACCATCATCATCATAATCATCATCATCATCAAATTTTCTAATGTATTTTGCACGTTTGTGTTCCTAAAGAATGCTAGGGGTGTATTGAGCCTATAATGCTAAAACTCGGAGGAAACTGAGGAACTGGTAAGGTAGCTAGGGCAAGACGCGCACGGCAAGGTATCTTTCCACCACACTTTTCTTTCTTCACATTTACATTACATTTCGGTCTAATAACCTCTCCTATACTTTTCGTGGCATTATTGTCTGTTAGAGTTCATTAATATTGTGTCAAAACACGAAAAAACGAGCCCTTAAATATAGACCTCTAATATATTATTATTTATTATCACGTAAATAATATTATTTTCGGTAAAGTGCGACCTATCTCACTTTAACCAAGATAAAATTAAAGAAAAAGATGTACAGTGAGGCGTGATCAATTGTGTTTCGTTGACCACCGCCTGCTCAAACTGATGATTTTTTTTTCTTAGCAGTGGTGTTACGGTCATCAATTATTCATTAAAATTGGTGCTAAGATGTTCTTTAGAAGAACTTGCTCTTGGGTGAGTTGGTGCCTTAGTTTGCTTAACATTTCGGTGCCCGTCTGTCTCCCCCCCCCCTTCTTTTTCATGTTCCTAGTGTTGCGCCAGTTACGAATTGCGTTCAGCGAGATGTTCCTTGTTTGTTCTATCTTGTCTTGTGTATTTCTAGCGTTGTTTGTGAAAAATGAAAGACTACAGCTTAACCAACGTACACTATAAACAATGTCCAAGAGATGAGACAGCTTGTAATACCAGGATATGTGGAAATGCTAAGCAAAAATAAGAAGACCATGTTCGTAATGTGTAGCCCGCCTTTTGCGACGAAAAGATAGGATCGGCAACACAAGCAAAGTTTGGGCTTGGAATGCACATAAACACGATTTAGAATATTTCCTATGAAGGACCCCCGCGTGCAAGTTCTCGCGCTTTAACTGAACATCCCTGCATGCGTGCAAATCACGTAAACAGATGTCTTGCTTTGAACAGTATCTAAACGTTGGTGATGACCCGACGCGCTATACCTGTAATCACGCTCTTCTTTTTTTACAGGGAAATGATAAAAAGCACAGCAAACTCGTGCGTACGAAGTCTAGCCGTTTATTAACAACGCCCACACGAAGAAGGCTGCGAGTGGTCACCAATGACGCCACCGCCGCCTATCGCTTGTTTGGTGTGTACACCACTCGGCTGTACCTGCAGTGGCACGCGTTCTTCCCACAATACGACTCTGTTCGTGCATTCCCTGTTTGCCTTGCCAAACACTGTTGCCTGCACAAGCCTTCGTCGCAGACCTGTAAAAAAAAAGCAAGAAGCATGAGTGCAAGAACAAGGTTGCAAGGATGGTTGTAAGCCGAGCTTGATTACGCTCGGAAAAATTTGGGTTCGTGTGTTCGCTGGATAGCATCGCCTATAGAATCCACAGACAACATAATTGCCTACACTGTTGAAGTGTTGTCGTGAAACAAGGAAACATCTCCGTTGACAACTACGGAGTGAGGGAATTACTGATGCAGTAACAGTTAATCCACTGTTATCGACATGCAGTTGTTTGTGTTGGCCACCATTCTACTGCCAGATACGACGGAAATACTCTCCGTGCGCACGTCCTGTGTTATCTGTATCGACCTGAACGCGTTAGACGTACACTGTCGTCCTTTATGAAAGGGAACACGCGAACGCGTGGCCTGCGCTCTGCGGCGGCTGCCTACAGTACCATCGACCGACAAGTGAAGAAAGCGCGTTCGCTTTTGGCGTCATCTACGGCCAAGCAAGATAACGAGTCATTGCCGGTAGACAAGCGCTGCTAGATTACGTTCACTCACCGCTCACGTGGCGAGCGATATCGGGCGATTACTGCAGCTTGCGCCGTGGTCGCGCACAATGTTCGATACGTTGGCAGTGGACTACGCACTACAGGCTTGAGCCGACATGGAGTGCGATCTAGCAGCGCTTGTCTACTGACCATAACTCGTTATTTTTTTTTTCGGCAAGAGAGGACGCTGAAAGCAAACGTATTTTCTTTTGCTGTCGGTTGATGGTGCTGTAGGCAGCCACAGCAGAGCGCAGGCCACGCGTGTTCCCTTTCATAAAGGACGACAGTGTACAACGTAAGACAGCTGCACGAACGACATCTTGCTCGCTTCTCACACAGTCTCCCGCAACCGGTGTACTACGACGAAGAGCGCATATACACTACTCTTTCGTTATTTCGTCGATTCAAACAGCAAGAACGACTGCGCAAAGACAGCGTTGAAGCCAATGGTAAGTTCACGGCACCTTTAAATAGCGCCTATTCCTGTCACACGACGTGCGATTAAGGAAAAAACAAGACTAAATATGGAAGGTCATCAAAGTAAGCGAAGACTAAAGTGGGCGTTATTGGTGTAGCGCTTCAACATTTCGTTGCGTTACAGCAGGAACTCTAAGCTCTGCCTTCTGTTTTACCTCGACGACTTAGCGTATTATCAGTGTCCCATCGTAACATAAAGATGAAACACTGAATGATGGTAGTTTCGATTGATGCAATGGCTAACGCAGTGTTTGCTGTTGATGCCAGGTATTTCAGCACCTAATTGGCACAATACGTTTCGCGTTAATGTGCGATTACTACAAAACAGAGAGAAAAGAACGATGGCGTATTCTGTGAATCGGAACACCAAATCGAAGGGACAAGCATGACAATATGCCGTTCAAGCATTAAAGAACCACACACTGGGGGTATTAGGCGAAACGTTTAGACGGACGTAGGTTCAGCAAGTTCCACAATTAAATCTATAGGTAGAGCTATAGTGGTTTAACATAGCTGCAGAGTACCCTGTGCTCTAAATCGTTACCCGCTTTTTCTGACCCCCCCCCCTACTCCCCCTACCCCCCCCCCCCGGCCATTACGTTACAAGGGTGACATACAGGACCTATTTGCGACGGGAACACAGTCGGCGGGCGCCTGTTCGCAGGAAATGGTCATACGCCCCACGTGTTCCACCTTTTCAGGTTGTTGAGTTTTGCATAACAAAAGCTGTTCCTTAGAATACAGAGGCAAAAACAAACAGTGTGCCGTGGCATTGAATATTCTTGCACAGTTCGTCATAACACAAAGAATGCATGCACAGTGCTTGCTTTGCTTCGTACGGTGTTGCTAAGTCGCTTTCTTGCGGCTGAGTAATCACGCAACATGCCAGCGTTGTGGCAACAAGTTTCGACAGGATGAAGGTAAGAAAGAAAGGGACGAGCTAGGATCGCTACACGATAAAGCGGCTTCCATTATTGATATTGCGGTGCATGAGAACACTTTTTTTTTAGCTGTATAGTTCTAGGCCTGTGCGTTCCTCCGAGGTATACCTTGAAGTGGATACGAAGTCACGTTGCTGAGCAGCGAGTATAGTCAATATCAATCCGTAGTTCACACTGTTTCGTGCCTCATATTAGTTTGCAGTTTCGACTCGCAAAAACCCCGGAATTCAATTAGAGTTAATATAAAGAGGAGGTATGTCAGGTATTGTTAGTTGGGCAAAATAGCAGTTAATGTTGCGGGACATAGTTTTTCGCACATTTTGCGATGACGAATAAGAAGTTTAGTATTTGTAATTCGATTTCTACGTTAGCTTAACATTCAGACAACATTGATGTGAACCAAGTGGAACAGCAGATGATAAATATTCAGTATTCTGCGCCGCGCACTTGGTGTCTTGTGATTAGGCACCGTTCACTGATTAGATGGAGCTGCGTTGGCCGCACTGGCCCGTCCCAAGTTCGCTAGCATTGGCCGTTAGGGGCGCGGATGTGCGCACGCGTCCCCCGTGTAGCCCGGCCAAAATGCACGCACGAAGTAGCGAGAAAGACGCGCTCTCCGCATTCTGCCTTGACCGATTTCGTCTCACTGTATTGTTTTTTTTGTGCTTTCTAATAGGATTTATGTTCTGGCGCTGCTGTCTTAATGGAAGACTCAATTGCAAAGTTCCTGTAGCAATGAATATGAAATTATCGCCCATTGGATAACGCATTCACCCACACTGAATGAGCCCCACATTTTGTGTTGCGCATAAGCTGTGTGCATTCTTGATGTTGAAACACGTTTCTTCTTCCGATTGGCTCGGTTGAATGATAAATAGCCTTCGAGGCATCACATCGAACGCACTCGAAACCGTAAGTAGAAAGGTGTAACGTCATCCACGCTCTCTAATAAACAATTCTTCCAGTTACGCTGTGTGGCCTGCAAAATAAATACGATATAAAAGGAAGTCATCGAAAGCATATTGTCTTTTTATCCTCCACTATTTCGGCTAATTCGCAGCAAGTTTCGAAATGCCAGCCTTGTATTTCTGCGCACGTTCGCATTTTTTGCTTCGTGATGTTTTCGTTGACAAGAAAAAAGGAGAGGAAAAAAAAGGAGAGGAAAAAAAAAGGCCACGTCGTTCGCAGGAGCTGCTTTTACGCTCTGGCGGTGACAGAAAGCCGTAAATATGGAAATTTCAGAACGCCGCAAAGCGAAAGAAAAGATAAGCGCTTGATGTGCACACAATGAGAACAATTTATAGCTTGCCCATGAAATCATATACGTAGCTTCTTAATCAACGTACTGCGACATGATCCCTATAACGATGACAACGCGGCATGTTCGCTGCTGCAGTTATCCTGCTTCGGTGTAATAAATGACGCGGCCGGAACGTTATCAGTTTTTACGCCAAAATAACAGCTGGCCCTGCCTGCAATATTCTCTTCACGTTCTCGTGGCAGTCGCGAACCTATCTTCGTATCGCGCTTGTACTAAAACATGGTTTCATTGACGAAAACAGACATCTACAGACAACCGCAATCATATTATGCTTCCATGGTGCACGTAAGCCTTGGTGTAAAAAGTTTTAGCATGCCCGCAACGGGAAACATGGACGGACGTGTTTTGACATTTCCGTTCGGGCATTGAGCAAGTGAGACCCAGATTTTGCAGCAATAATTCTGGCCAATCATCGAGACTGGGCGGTTGCTCAATTTGCCGTCTGCTTTAATTTCAATAAAATCTGTAAGATTGGTTCAGTCGTCAGACAGCCTATAGATTGACGATTTTTATGTCTTTTTATTCGTCTAGCAGACCATACAATGGCATCAAAGTTTTGAATCCTTAGATATACAATAACCACAAAGAAAACTTGGAACAGTTTTAGCTTTTATCTCCTGCACAACAGTCAGAGTAGACGACGCTGGCCTTGCGACGGTATTTTCAAGTTTTATTTCGGATGTATGAATATGCAACGATATTCCAGAAACTACAAAAAGGTTTCCTGGATGGGAAACCGCATATGGTCTACTATACACAATTATACAGACAGACGCGCATATATATGTCGTTCGATCAATCGTGCACAGTGCAACATACGTAATTTTTTCTTCGGATTATCGACAAAGCGGTGGTTGCCGAGAAACGCGTCGGCTCAACGGTTTTTCACCGCAATTCCGCAGAAGTTGGCTTTATTGTTGAGCGAAGGTTAGATGGCTCTGCCGGAACACCGTCGCATGGCGTTGATGATCACCGTCATCCGTACATCTAGAAAAATAACGTTAGGTCAGTAGCAGCCCACAGGAGAGATATGGTTGAAAATGGGAACGTTTGTGTTACACGCAAACAGCACAAACTAGCTGGTTGCTAAAAAGGCCTTGTATCGATGGTATCTGCATCAAAAAACAAAGAAAGAAATAAAGAAAGCTTTCATGTCTATCTCACAGTTGGTTTTAGCAAATTTTAAGGCGTTAGCTCAAACACTTATCCCTAGAAGACTTAGCGCGTGCGTGTTTGTGTGCGTGTGTGTGACGCATCGTTGTCAAACCGTTGTAGTGACTCACTGAATTGTATTGCGATATTTCTACACTTGCGCACTACATTGCTGTACTGAATATTACTGTGCTCTTTGCGGACTGTACTCACGCTTGCGCTGCTTGCGTGTGTACACTTCATGCTGCTTTCATACAGTCACAAACAAAAGTAATGGCGTAAGTCGAGCGATGCTGTCCAAGGGCTAAGCAAATACTTATTTCTAAATTCATCTCATTCAAGTCCATTCACGACTTGAGGGAGGCAAGGCGCCTACAGAAAAAAAAATTCAGTGGCGAATGAATTCACTTCAGTCCTTTCGGTGAGAATCTCTGTGCGAGTCGTTCGATCCACACAAGCCTTTGGCACAGACATGGAGGATTGTTCGTGGCCTACGAACATCACCACGTCAACATCGCCCCTTCAAGTGTCTGTCTCTCAACCAAGGCCGCACCGAAATTGAAGCAGCAGAAGATTTCTGCATGAAAG